GGAGGGGGTGGAAAGACTCTTGCTTACAGTAGAATGCCTTCACCAACTGGTAAATGTGGAGAGAATGTTGGAGCTGAACAGTCATCATTTTGCAACCATCATTATAAAGATTGTTTCAGCCAAGAATCTTCGATGGATGCTATGTTTAGGGGGAAATTTTGAGGAGGAGTAGACTGCTCATTAATTGAAAGAGAGAACAAAATTCTGTAATTAACAGAAAAAAAATTGGGTGACACCTTGACTGAATGATCAAGATTCCTGTCACCTCTGAGGGACATTGTGTGCCTGTGCATGTGATTCTCTTATACAACCTATGCTGCATTGAAGCTGAGGATACATAACTTCCAACATGACAAAAAGGACCATCAGTCAAGTACAGCACAAGGAAAATTACAGTTCGAGAGGAAAAGTGGGTGGGAAGACTTGTACTCCTTGTCTTGAGGTGTCCTTCCATCTGAAAAGTGAGAATTACATCACTCCAACCTCTGCTTTGCCTCACATCTCCTTCTCTGACTCTGTCCCTCTTTTCTCCCTCTTATAAGGACTTTTGTCATTACATTGGGCCTTTCTCAATGATCCAGGATATTCTTACCTCGAGATCCTTACTTAATTATACCTGCAAAGTCCCCTTTGCCAAGGGAGGTCACATATCCACAGGCCCATGGATCAGGACATGGACATCTTTGGAGGGGCCATCATTCTGCCTCCATAGGACTTTTGTTCAAAAACGTCAGTGCCATAAAAGACAAAGAAGGACTAGAGAGTATAAGAGGCTAAAGTGATGTGACAACTAAATGCAGTATCTGACCTCTACTGGAGAGGAGATACTATAAAGGACATTCATTACTATATCAACTGATAAAACTGGAACTTAGATGGTTGGTGATGAAAGTATGAATATAAATTTATGGAGTTGATAAATACACTGAAGCTATGTAATAGTATATCCCTATCCATAGTAAGTAAACACTGGAGTATTTAGGAGTGAAGGGCCACGATGGATGCAGCTTACTCTCAAATGGTTCAGAAAAAACTGGTGTGTACACATATATACATATAAAAGGCAAGAGAATAAATGATACAAATGAAGCAAAATGTTAACAATGAATCTGGAAAAAGGCAGAGGGTATTCCTTTTGCTATTTTTACTTTGGCAATTTTTTTGTAAGCTTGAAATTATTTCCAAATAAAAAGATAAAGAAATCACCTACCTAACCTGTCACTTAGCCCCAAAGTTGTGACAACATCCCTGATGTGATGGGTGGTCATCTCATCGCTGAGCATCTAGTGTGGAGGTCTGAATGCCTCTAAGGATGGGTGAACTCAGTATATCATGAGGCGGCCTGTCCAGTTGCTGGTGAGAGAAGGTTAAGAAAAATGAAATCAATTCATTGGTGACTTTCACCCATTGGTTGTAACCCAGGCTTCTGGTGAAATACAGAGTAAGTCTTCTCCCTCTTCAAGTACTTGAGGCTCTGTTGTATCTCCTCCATAATTTGTTTTGCAGGCTCAGAGTTTCTTGTCAGTGGATGCCTCTTGGTCAATTTCTAAACTTGCAAGCCAGGGTGCATTTCATCTGTCAGTGTTGCTCTTAAAATGCAGTGTCTGTGACAGTACAGCACTCCAGCTGTGGCCGCTCCAGGGAAGAGAGCAGTGGGCCCATCCTAGTTTGATTTGCTCCTTCCTCCTCTTCCAACCACACTCTTCCCAGGTCGCCACAGCCTCTAGAGGGAAGAGCGCTGTTAGTGATATACGTGGATTACATGACTAATCAATGCCCATGGATCAGTGTTGTCGGCTTCCTGTTAAGACAAAGGGAAACCCCGGCTTGAGCCTCCTGCTGCTGAGATGGAAATGGCTCTAAGCAGTTGTCCTCTCACCTCTGCACTTCCTGCACAGCCAAGGGAGGAGGCAGGTTTCTTGGCTAGGGCTGATGAACAGTGCGCTCGGGAGTTTGTGTAATTCTAGTTTTTAAGCTGGCTGCTGCGAATCCCCAGCACCCAGGGCCTGGGGGCTCCATGGACTACAGCACCCTGCAATGGGAAGTTTCGGAACTGCTCTGCCAGCTTCAAAAGGTGTTTAGGAGACTCGCCTAGGGTCACAGCCTATGTCTGACTGCATAAGCAATCCTGGGTTCTAGTGTGTTACTTAGAAATCAGTGCAAGCGAGCTTGGGAGCAGTCTTCTGTGGGAGTCACTGTAAGGGTGATAGGGAGTTTCCAGAATGTTAGGATCGCCTTTGTGACATTCTAGTGAGGCAAGGTCACCACCAGCTGCCCTCAAAGCATCATTTCTCCAGATCATGCGGTGGGGGCTTCTTTCCCTGTTGCATTAATGTTCCGTCAGAGAGACCCCACCTAATAGACACTGGGAGACCAAGCTTTTAGTGTGAACTCACCAGCCATAAAAATGTCAGGTCACTAAACGTTTTTAGTTTCAGGGTCAAATAGCTCACATTAGGGCAGTAGGAGAGGGGCGTTTTCTGCAACAGGCATTTTAAGAGAATTCCTAATAATGGGGGCCTTATCACAGTGGAGTAACTAATGAAGCTGGTTCGAGGGAAGGAAGAAAGGCAGGGAGGGAGGGAGAAAGGACAGGGTCTTCTTGGGAGCCTTCTAATGATAGTCAATGGGCACAAACTAACTTACGCTGGAAATCCTAGAGGTGATCACCTGAACTGCCTAAATGTATTAGCTCATTAGTGACCATCCCTTCCTTTTATTTCTGGCCGCCCCCACCACCACCCCTTCTGTCTTCTAAAGGAACTGACAGCAACCAGCGTCCCCTTGGAGACTTAGGAGGCTTAGGGACTGGCTGAGTGCTCAAAGGTGCCCATCTGGACCGAAGTCCTGGGACAGGTAACGAGGAGCTACCCTGTTGGGCTGTTTTTCTGAGATACACCCAGTTGTGAATACACCCAGGAAGTCAAAGAGCATAAATCAAAGGGAGTTACTGTGGTCTGTGGGAAAGAGGGCGACTTGACCTGGTTTGGTAGGGAGGTGTTGAGGCTGTGCGTTTGGGAGCTTTTTTCCTTTTGGGCAGCTGGTAGAGGCACCTCCTGCTCCCCTGGGCCTGTCTTCCAGAGTCATTGCTCAGCATCGCAATCACCTCCTCTCCGGCACCACTTTCCTCCTAGGAGACTCAGGGTGTCCCCACATCTGACTAGATTTAGGGAAGTTTCCATGCAGTGGAGGCGGCTGTGAGGACACGAAAAGGAGTTGCTGCCCACCACATGGGACTGCAGCTTCCTTTGCCACAGAGATGTCCCCACATGACCACAACGAGTGTAAATGAAATGGGAGATGGTACCAAAGATCAGTAGAGAATTTCTTCCTCTTTCCAGTGAAAGAAACCATAGGCACAGAAGCAGAAAGCAAATATTTTATTTACATGACATGGGAAAATTATACTTAGGAAACTCCTGTGAAAAACAGAAACATATGAAGGTTTGATGAAAATACGGATCTTCTTTGTCAAAAACCCCTAGGGCAATCCTGTGTTCATGTTGTTTTGTTTGGTACCATGGAAACACATGGTTGATTGCAATGGACAAAACTATGTCAGGGAAGAGACCAAAGGTTAGATCTGATGTTTTCCCCACAAGATGGGAGAAAAACAATTGATTGGTCTTTGCTATGGAAAACTCAAAAATCTTATAAACAGGGAACTCCTTCCTCCAGGGGTCCCAAACTTTCTCTAAGATAAAGAAACTGCATATTTTAAGCCATTTTTAAATTAGATTCAGAAGGTTTTTAGACTTCAGTAAAGCCTGTATTAATAGGGGGAAGAGGGACACAGAGACTTAAACCAATGTATAGATCAGTTAGAGAAAAAGACTACCTAACTCAACATAGTGATTGTCTATAAATTACCCCAATCAAGAAGCCCTGGAACCTGATTTTAAATGTCTCTACACACAGTCCAGTGGTTTTCAAAGCTAGTATTTATGGAACTGGATGGTATCAAGTAGCTGCTAAACCTTGGGAGTTCTTAATTTAGGTTTCCACTTGATAGGAAACAGCTGATGTTATTAAAAAAACAGAAAATTCCTTTCAGAGCTCAGTTCTTTTGAATAATTATGTCCAAACTAGTTTAATAAAAGTTTATTCTTTTTGGGTCACATAAACCCATGTTAGTTTATAGAAAAGGGGAAAATTCTGGAGGGACTAAATAGCTTCACCCCTTGACGAAGCACATTTTCCCCCAGTGATGGTTTTGGGAAATTGAAGACATAAATGTAATGATCTGAGTTAACGTGTTCTTCTTTATTTCTAGCAATACACCAAACAACTGAGGGTCTAGGTGGTTTTGCACATAGCTCTGCACACAAATGTACAAATAGACAATAGGAAATTCAGTCTGTGGGATGGAATATGAGATTTGCCTAACACGCAGAAGGCTCACTCCCATCTGAATGCCAGCATAGGATAAGGCAGCCTTTGGATGCTATGGTGTCCAATGGCTAGATGAAAGGATGGTCAGCAATTCTAACAGCATCGTGAGTTCACTCCAAAGACTGGAAGTGTTTGGTTCACCTACCGACCAGGAGGACATTTGTTTTTAGCTTGGCTTCAAATTGGGTTGAGGATGGCCAGGCAGCCAAAGTATATAATACACATTCTTGTTCTATCCAAGTGACACTTCCCATATTGACCTATACCACACTTTTGAAAAAGGAAATGCTTCAAAATGAAAAAGGTCTTTCTTTATTCTAGAGACTAGAGATACTTTTCTATACTCCTAGTTCACCAGTAGTCCCACCATGAAGCTATATAACATATAAAGTTATACAAAGAGGTTATAGAATTATAAAAGGAGGTAGCATGGTAGTCTGTGGACATGCAGAAAACTATGCTGTTCTAGGTCCAGTATGTACAATTTTAAAAATATTCATATACTTCTGATTTAATAAATTACTTGCAACATTTAAATTTCACAGTAAAAAGTACAAAGTTTGATAATGCTGTTTTAAAACTCATAGAAAGCATATCCATACAGCCAATGAATTCATCTCTTTATTGCATATTGCTATTAAAAAATGTACAGTCTCATAACACATACAACATTTTTCTTGGTACTGTAACAACAGTCTTGCACCTAAACACGAAGTGGTTCCAACTACAAAGCTAATAAGATACAAGACATATAAGTAAATTTACAAATTACAATGCTTTTCCTTTTTGGCATTAATTTAAAAAAGAAAACAACAAACAAAAAACTTTAAAATACACACTCAAGAGAGAAAATGGCTACTTACACCAGCACCAATCTAAAAAGTAGATTTTTTTTTTTAAACAATGGCACATGGAATTACCTGCACACAGCTTCTGGGGAAAGAAACGGAAAATGGGAATGGTAAAGAAGGCCTACCAGAATGGCCGTATCAAAATGAGGATGATTCAAAAGGGCAAGAGGGAAATGCTACACAAACCTGCACCTTTATGTGACTCTCCATCCACTTGTCCATTCCTTAAACTGTAAAACAAAGCCACTTTCAAAATACAGTTCTAAAACTGAGCCAGACCAAATTTCTCTTGCTATAAATAGAAAAGAATATAGAGGCACTTTAGTTAAGGAATAGAGAAATCCAGCATCACATCCCACTCCTCACCTCCAAGCCTGTGGAACATAGTCTCCATCCGCACCTTTATTGTGGTGTCTTCATAGACCCTGGTAACGAGGAGGTGGGGGCAGCACAACCTCTGCTGTGCATTTATGACTATTTTATTTGCTAGAGTCATTTACTTCCATATAATGTATAGAAAGTCACTAAGTTTGCAGTGAGGGAAAAACATGTAAAACCATAGCTCTTGACAACTCTTAGAGCATTATTTCACAGCTTTCACAAAGCGCAGAGACCTCGGCATCTGCACTGAACATTGTAGTTTGTACAAATGATTTTTAAATAGCATGATTCCTGTACAGCAAATACATTGGTATTCTATTCACCCCTTAAAATCCCCTTTAGAAAGTAAGCGCCTTAGGGACAGGGACTCTGTCTTGTTTATCATTGTAGCCCCACTATGCCTGGCACATAGTAGGTGTTTAATAAATATTTATTAATTCACTGAAAAACTCAATTTAGTGAGTAAGTGATGTTACAGTGCAACAGGACAAATGAGTCTCTCCACAGGAAACCCGAGCACAACAGGATCAATGAAAAGGAAAGAGAACCTTAGCGCCCCCCACCCCACTACAAATAAATAAAGCAAAGCAAAAAAAAAAAAGTAACAGTCCTCTTCGTATATAATTTAAGCATATTAAGAGTTGGTAGGTTAATCGTAAGCATCTATATTTTATTTTCAAATGTTCATTGTTTTTATTCATTTTTCCCTGAGAGCTTTATCTTTTGGACTGAAATTTTACAGGTAGCTTTACTGACACACAATTTAAAATGATAACATATAAACAGCAAACCACTTCAAACATAGAGATAAATAGCTCTTGGCATCTCTGTTGGTGTTGTTGACATTTTGTGCATTCACTAAGGGTTCTATAGTCTAGACCCATATTCACAGAAGATGCAGCTTGTCTTCCAAAACAGAAAGTACAAAAAAAAAAAAAAGGTACCACATAAAATTTTTTTTTTAAAGTAATCTTTATCCTTTCAGACAATTACTCCTTTCAGGTCTTGGGTGGCAAATTTTATTTTTAAAATTTATGTATCTACATTGTTAGGACAACAAGCATTCTGTGATGTTCTCTAACAAGAGCATGGACTGAATTTAGAGAAATAGTATTATTCCCAAAAGCAATGTAAAGAAATCATCAAGAGTGTTTGGCAGAGAACTCAATGAAATTAGGATAAGAAAACCTGATGTCCAAGTTTTAAATATATAAAAAAATTCTGATTGACATTCTACCTAATTCAGATTGTGTGCAAGATGTTCTCAATAAACATTTATGGACTGCATCCCCACAGCAATGACAGAAATTCTAAGCTGGTCTTATCAGTTACTGATGCAATGCTTCAGCATCACCTTGTCAACTATCAAAAACCATTTTAACTCTACACTTTTCCAACACCAATTTCACCAGTGAAAATAATTTCAAAGTATACCAAGCTGGGAAACCATGAAATATTTCTCTCTCTTTTTTTTTTTTGCTATTGTTATTCTTTTTACTCTAGGGACTGCTGTCTCTGTCATCTCTTTCAGGAGATAGTATTGTGCTTTCTAAACAGCTGTGGTGTTCGGGGAAGAAAATGAGCCACACTCAATATGAATGCATACACAAAGGGTTTCTGAGCACATACATTAATGAGCTTTTTAAACCATACGTATAGGTCCCCAGACAACACTCAGACTTCTATATACATTTTTTAATATATATACACATACATTTACATACACACATTCACTCACAGATGAAAGAAGAAATTGCCACTGTTTGGACTGCAAGGCAGTGTAATGAAAAGTTCTAGTCACTTCAAAGGGGCTGCTAATGAGCTTTCTAAAAAAAGTATTCAGGGAAAATTAGAAATTAAGTTTTGTGACTGGTCTCTCGCGGCTACTGTCCGTCACCTGGTTTGTAATGCGCTTGCGATTCCGTTTCAGTTTCGAAAGGTCTTTGTCAAACACTTCTCCTGAACGTAAAGCCGAAACCAGGTCATCAAACTCTCCACTTTCTTCACTATTCTCTTTCGCTTTCCTCATTTTACGTTCCCTTTCACGTTGTTCTTTGAGCTGCAAACAGAAAGCAATCTCTTAGAGGAGTGTCAAAATCATTTTTTCCCCCCCGGTGGAGATGAATTCTGTGAAACATGAGCCATGCTTCAGTCACCCCCAGACATGTTTTCCCCGAGCGCTGCTAACCCCCTTGGGTGTCACGGGAGAGGTTAACGGGAACATGAGGGCTCACTGTCGAAGCAAAGCACGCTTAAGAAAAATGACCACTACTTTGTGATTAGACTCTCACCAGCTAGAATCCAGGTAGACCTCATGATGTTCTAAGAGCAACTGGGACAATTTGTATTTCCATCATGGAGTGAGAAAGTTATCACTATTAAATAGACTACAAATGTTGGTTTCTTTGGTGATATACAGAGTCTGAAGCAAATGCTCACCAGGCCATGCCCCATACATCAAAGGCTTAGCCTCTACCCACTGTGGATCTTTGGAACCTGCTACACAAGGTTACTATCATTAAAAGCCAAACAATCCACATATAAAACATTTAGGTAATTTAGACGTTTATCTGAAGGGGAAAAAATTCTGTTGTCAAGAGATAACCATTGTGAACCTGAGATCCATACTGCCCGATCGCCTAGGAGGAGCCGCACACCAATGTAAACTCCCGGCGGCCTCCTAGCGGGCACCCGGACGCCCTCCGGGCTGCCGGCTTCGCTGCAGGCTGGCACCAGGGGCTGCGGAAACGGAACCTCCGGCAGGGGGCGCCTGTACCTGGGCTTCCAGGCGAACCCGGCGCTCTTCCTCCTCCTTCTTCTTTCTCAGGTTTTCATTCTCTTGTTTGGCTTCGGACAAGGCCTGAAGAAACTGATCGAAAATGCCAAAGAACTCGTCTGGCTGTATTTTACCAGCTTCTTCCCCAAAGTGTTTCACTGCTTTAGTAAACTGGAAAAGAAAAGATTTTAAAAAGTTCAGTGTTCCAGGAGCAGTCAACGATCCAACATGAATCTCTCTAGAAGGACTAAGGCTCAGGTAGGTCACAGGTACCCCACTGGATTTTAGGGAGCCGGTACTGATCTTTGCTAGCTGAACATGTCTGTCGGTCATTTCTAACGTGAAAAATTTAATACTCCTTGGCTTCTGCGACCATTTATTCCTGTCCATCTCACTTCAGCTTAACACCTATGATTACTTCCTCTGACTTTTTATTAACTAAACAGTAGTAAAAACAAGAAAGCAAAATACCACAAAGTAGAGCACGCAAGACATAAAACCAATAGCAAGCTCAGCAGGGTAGGGAAACTTGTACTTTTAATTTCCTTTGAAGTAGTTTAATATCATTTATGGGGGCCATATGGTTAACATCAAAAGCACATGGGATCCAGTGCTTCTTAGCTGCTTTTCCTAATCATAAATAATGCTGGTATTGTTATATTTCCTGGGCTTCAATTAGAAAATAATAACTGATTGTGGAATCATTAATACAACCCAAAATTTATGACTGAGAATACAATTTTACTCCAAGTCCTTTGTTTCAGAATCCCTTTCAATGCAAATCTTTTTAAACAGCTAAAATGCAAGTATTAAGAACAATTTTTAAAAATTAAAATTATATGTATATGGTAACAAGACAGTACTTCAGTCTTTAGTTTTAACTGTCTCTAATTTTAGTTCTCCTGGTAGTTATCTTTTTAACTTGAGACTGCATGCTTGCAGGAATCTTAGCATTATGACTGTCCAAATAATGTTCAATGCCAGTCAAACGGTTTGTCAGAGTTTTTCTTCCTTCTCTAAGTATCTAATGCTATTACTCGTAAGCTACTAAGGATGGTGTTTCTAGTTTCAGTGTCAAATGAGTTCTCATTCCCTATGCCTAATCTACCACTTACAATTCTCAAGATCTTCTAATTTTCTTCATCTTTAGTCTATGAGGTATTTATGCAGTCCTCCCCAACCCAAGAGTTCCTAGTGGCTTTTATTTTTCTTGTATTACCTGACTTTATTATATTGTTAAGTTTTTTAAATATTTCAGTAATACTATGTACCTAAAAGAAATGTTTTTATTTATTCACTTTTTTTGGTCTCTCCCCACCCCCCCTGCTTTACTGACATAACCAAATTACAACATTGCATACATTCAAGGTGTACAGCATAATGACTTGACTTACCTATATTGTGAAATGATTACATTTAATGTCCATCATCTCATATAGATACAAAAAAGAGGAAAGAAATGTTTTTTTCCTAGGCCTACTCTCTTAACAACTTTCAAATATACCACATTGCAGTGTTAGCTACAGTCATCATGTTGTATATATTACCTCTCTAGTACTTATTTATCCTATACCTGGAAATTTAAACCTTTTGACTACCTTTATCCAATTCTCCCTCAATATTTATTCTTAAACAATTTTTGATTATGTTATGTGTATGTGTGTATATATATACCTATATATATGTATGTATGTATATGACATTTTAAATTACTATTTCATATCTTTAAATTTATAAAAAAATGTTATTTTGCCTTTTCCTCTTCACTGAGTTGTTCTCCATGTTTTACTTATTTGGAAATCTTTAGGGAAAGACAAAACATTCTTCACACGCCACAAACAGCACTCTAGCTTGCTCCGTGGTTTTATAAGCTAATTTCTAAAAGTTCTGGTATGAACAAAACAGCAACAGATAGCATATAATTGAGTTTCTAAAACATTCAAGTTCATGCACTTCAAGCCATCCTGAATGATCTTTTTATCTAGGAATTCTAGTGATGATGAAGTCATGTATATTTTAGTCTTAGAAATCTGAAGGAAACTAGTCCCAGACTAAAGTTCCCACACTAAAATAAATTTTTTTTGTGAGTGTATTTTTAAATTAAAAAATTAACTGTCCAGTTGATTTTTCTAAAAATGTTTGTAGTACCTACTATGTTGCCAGGTTTGGGGTGGGGAGGAACAGCATTTCTTCCCTCACAGAGTATGTACTTCAAGGGGTGAGGCATACACGAACAAGGACGGGGTCTATCACAGTGGAGGTTGCTGACATCAGTTGACTGATTTCAATCACTGGATATCAGAAGTTGGACTTCTAACAGCAGTCATTTGAACATATTTTGTCTTTTCATGTACTTAATAACGTTGGAGGTGGCGTTTAATGTTGAGATTAGCTAATATATCTTAACACATCTACCCCTGACTTTAACCAGTATGTGTGCACACTTTTATAAACAACCACCTGGATCTACAACTGAAAAGCTGACCACAGAGAAATGATATCCATTACTTAAGTATCAAAGCAAAGATTCAAGTTAAAGCAAGAGTTTTGTGGCAACTGTGAGATGGGCAGTACGGAAGAATTCGACAGGGCGGGGTAGAGGCTTAATATCACTTATTAACAATGAGAAGGGGACTGAGAGAAAACAAGAGAATGTGCGCATGTATATGAATGTGTATGTATTTTGCAAGAGGAAATGAAAAGGGTGGGGGATTTAAAGGTCTTGGTTATTAACCAACAAAAACTTTCCCTTTACAGGAAAACAAAATTTTGAAATAGCAATTATCATAAAGAGAAATGTCTTTTTAAACAATATGCCTCTTGCAATGAGGCTGCAAATTAAAATGCAGTTCATTTAGTAAGTTCTGCTGGAGATTTCAAGAGGGAGCATCCTGTCATCCTAAGATTCTACCTCAGGAGATGACATTACTCATAGGCACTGAAGCACTTGGCTACTGTCACACAGATTCACTTTTCATCCTGCCTTGGGTTTTCGTAATCTATTCTTTGCTGGTTTCTAGAGATAAGTACTTTGATTCACTATCAACCAAGAGAAAACTGTTAAGTTTTTACTGGTTTTACCATTCAGATACTTTAAGGTCTTGGTAACCTGAAGGCCACATAGATCAGTTAGACAAAATAGACAAAATGGGTGTGTTTCTATTGATCACAGTCCTAGAAATAAAAATATACTTAGAGTATTAACATCTGAAAGTACCAGCCCTGTCAAGCAGCACTCAGTGTACAAGGGGAGATTTACCAGGTCTTTAGCTTCTGCTAGAAGATCTTCAACATCAGAGAAACTGAAGCTGGCCACTGTGATGAACTGGCTGACAACGGACACAAACTTATCCCCGAGCTGTGGGGGCTGAGACTTCTGATACTCCAGCTCCTTAAACGCAGGAAATGGATGATGTCAGTGTAGGCTTCAAATACAGACACACCTTGTCTCATTTTCCTTATGCCTCAAATTTAATAAATCAGAATGGCAAATAAAACAACACCTGTTCTAGAATATTTGGTGATTAAGATTTACATTAGCTCTTGTCCTTCCACCCACCATGTCAGGGCCTTGTCCATGTGCTCACACATATTTGCAAACAGCAGTTTAACCAATTATCTGAATACTTAATCAATGTGATGCCTTATGCTAGCTTTAGAACTTAAGCAGATTAGTATTTGGATAAAATTAGTAGAAGTCTAACAAGTAATGGAGAGCAAACTGGATTCAAAGGGTATACAACTGAAAGCAAGATAATTTGTGGGTATTCCATGCTCAGAATTCTGGTTCCTTGATTGTTTCTTCTCTCCCTCTCTGCTAAATGTATTTACTCCCTAACCCATGATATCTGGGTCAGTTGAATTTTACCTGTAGCGTTTGGCACCATAATCATCTACCATTTTTCTTCTTGTCCATACCATTTGATTTTTATGAAAAGGCAGTTAGGAGTACTAGTGTCTTGTTAATTATTGATATTTTTCGTTACCTTGGTGATGAACACACAGATTATTCAAATCTACTTTCAATAATTAATTGCAACCACTGCTGGATGTACTTTCTTATTCAATCCCACACACTTCTGTGAGTGGGCATGAGGGCTCCCACTGTACAGACACAAAAACTGAGGTTTAGAGGGATTAAATTATTTGCTCAAAGTCAAGTAGTTGATAGAGGCAGAATTTGAACTCAGGTCTGATTGATGCCAGAGTCTTAGTAACAACTACACTGTATATTAACTGACTGAAATTGGATCTATTTTATTTCGCGTCTACTTTGGCAGAAGTACCAACAATCAGAAGTACAGAGGTCACAGGCTATGGGTTCTAATTTAGCTCCACCACTAATCTGGTTCTTAGGCATAATAGGTAGGCTGGGCCTTGGTTTCTTCACTTGTAAAGGGAGGACAATATCCACATCACCATGAGGACCAATGAAATCATGCAAGTGGAAAGTCTTACAAATCATGGAGCTTGTTCTGATTGGAAGAAATTGCCACAATTCTAGTACCTTGGCCTGGAAGGTGAGCATGTGTGTGTGTGTGAGGTATAGAGACATGAAAGCAATTTAAAAGTGTTTCATTAATGCATAATTTCATAAGAATTCCATTCAAACAATATAAACAATTTGGGCAAAGCACTATTAGAATACATGGATATTTAGATGGGCCAATATCTGCCTCCCAGTAGTTCCTTCAAATGCTGTATCTTGACATTTAAGCTGCTGGTGGTGGGGAGTGGGGGCCTCTTTCCATAGGAACCCCTTTCCTATGAAGAGTGTGTTACAATGTACATGACCCAGGGGCTGGAAAGATTTCAGCAAAACTACCCTTAGTAAACACAAAATCTCCTTGGGCTCCTTCTCTCATGCCTTGTTCTTAACTAGCTCAGATGCAAGTGTCAGAGCATCCATTATCAGGCTTTCGAGCTGCCATAACTGCCATGCTAGTTCCCAGAAAGCCCTCCACTGGGAGGAAATGGCAACCAAGTGAAGGCTATCAAACAAGCCTGGTCTCAAATTGCCCTTCTCCAGTTTGGCCTCTGAAATCTGAGGAGGACTATCCTATGCCTTCACTCAGTCTCTTGGCCCAGTGGGGCAGGGAGGAAAAAGAGTTCACTCAATTAGTTCATCTCCTTTTCTTATGATTGATTCAGCAGCCACCTCTCCAAAACCATCCCCCCCCAAAACAAAAAACCTTACATGCTCCTTAATTAAAAACAAAACAGTAGACACTGTGACTCTAATTTTTATTAAAGCTATGTCTTTAAGGAAAACTACTTCTTATGGCATGGTTTTACTATTTAAATAAAAAAGAAGAAGATCATTGTGGCATTACTAATGATTTGAAAGATACTTTGGAGAGGGGGACTTTTCCAAGCTGCCTGTGAATCAGTCTCCTTCACCAAGCGCCAGACCATAGGAACCCTTTTCCTATGAGTGGGGTCTCACCTGAACCCACCTCCTCACTGGGGACTGTGTTTGGCCCATACCCATGAGGCACTGTGCATCACAGTCAAGTTTAAGTCCACTGAATCCTCTGCCTCTAGTATAGTCTGACCTGCTTTCCTTCCACGGAGGTCCAGGCCTAGATGGTCTCAAATACTTGGGACAACCTCCCTCCTGTGTAACCAACTTTTCCCACCCTCCTCCTAAGCCACAGATCAAAGTTTCTCTCTTCCAGAAAAGAAGCTTCTTCTAACATATGCCAGTCATTCCACAAACATCAGATTAACCTAAATCCACCCTCTTCCTCAAGGCACCTCTGCAATCACTATGCTTATCTGGATGTGGCCAGGCTGAGCAAAAGTACGTGTTCACTGGATGGGTTGCTCTTGGTCATTCCAACACCTGGGGGGCAAGGATTCCGAATCATCTTGGCCCCTTGCCTTTAGAACGGACTGTACACCCAAATGTTTGCTCAATGAATATTCCCCAAAGGACTGACTCAGATGCAACAGAGGAGTTCCACTGCTCTACTGAGAATGAATACCATTTATTAATAGAACATGGACACTGAGGGGACCCCTGAGGATCACCTAGCCCAATCCACATTAACAAGTACTGCCTCACAGCAAGTTAGTGGAACTCTGGGTCCAGTTTCTCAGCTTGGCTCCAGGGGCACCCCAATGACACCCTGCAGCCTGCAACAGAGCTGCCAGGCTACACACAGCCTGCTTTTGCTTCTTTGCTGTTGCTGGGTTTTTTTGTTTTTTGTTTTGATCAATAAATGTTTTTCCTGGCCTATCACAGGCCAAAGCACCCAGCAAGCTGAAGACAGTGAGGAGACATGATGAGAACGACGTGAGTACTCACCATTTCTACTGCCTTTAGACCACTTCTCAAGGTGCTGATTTCTTTGTCCAGCTCAGTCATGCTGTTGTAAATAACAACATGTTAGCATCCAACATGTGACTTAGACATATTAAATATATCATGGGTTTAAATAGTTCATGCTTAGAAGTTTATGCTAGTTTATTTTAAGTGTTTAAAAGTCTCTTCAATATTCAGATCTTACAGAAAGACAACCTTTTAAACTCATGGCATTTAGGAATGGAATTATATTTTTTGTTTTCTACAGCTAGCAGGTATATTACATAGGTTAAAAATAGCAGAATAGAAATACCTCCCATCTGTACAACTGTATTTCATGTTTTGAATCACAAAAATCTCACTAAAGCACATTACTGTATGTGGAAATAAATCTCTTGCCATATGTGGCTCCCTTTGAACAAGTAAAAGAAACTGGCTTATCCATGATCATGTTCACATTGTGCTCTTCATAATCAGTGTGTTGCTTTTCATGAAAGCTCTGCTGAAACGAATATTACAAGGTGATGGCTCTAATTTCAATCAACAAGGATTTTTCTTAAAGTTGTACTAACTAGTTTTCATTTTCATTACCTTTTTTTTTTTTAATGGAGAAAGCCTCCTGGGCTTTTCCCATAAACCTTTCTATTTGATGGCTTTTAGACACAGAGATTACAACTTAATGCTTGCAGATAACTCAAATGTAGACAAATTCATTTTTTAAACTTCATTTACTTTACCAATATATCATTTACTTTAACATTTTAATTTCATGTCTTACATGGTACATTTCTACCAATTTTACAAAAAAGGGGAAAAAATTAGCCTGCTCCTCATACTTTTCAAATTCACTACAGAAAGATGCAGTTTAAATTAAGTTTTACAAAAGCAGGGATCAAAGGAGGAGGGAAGAACAGCAAGGAAAATTGCCTGCTTCTCAGTCTCTGAAAAGTGCTGTGAAGTTTGGGCGAACACTTGGCAACTTTCCATTTTATTTTTAGTTTCTTCATTTGCATAAGGACTGCTTTCCATTAAAAGGTCGCCTGGTTTTCTGGGAATGTGTGCACATGTGAAAATTACTAGTAACACCCTGACATTTAGGTCTGTTGGCTAAACCATGTATCCTCATTTAACCGAGGGTCCTTCTACCTGTATACTTTAATAGAATTACCTTTGAAAAGGACTAGTGAAACCACATTCCTTTCCTATACTCTTAATAACTCAGCAAATTAGGTTTTGCACAAGTTACATATTGCTTTCAGGAGTATTCCACAGGAGCTAGAACAAATATATATTCAAATCATGTAACACGTTAGAGTGGTTTAGAGATGGACTGAAAACTTTTATTTCATGCGCTATTCAGGGAAGAGCAAACAGAAGGACCCCTTCCTTCATGTGTGGCTAGCAATATCTCAATGGCTAAAGCACTGTCCAAGCGCTTTAAAAACTAAAGGATTCATTGTAAGTACTTACTTTACTTTTGCTGCTTGAGGAATGTCCCGCAGTTCCTCATTTAGATTGAGAACCTTGGGGTATTTACTTTCCACAATAGTTATGAGATAGTGCAGTAGCGTGATGTTCCTGGGATTAGAGAAAGAAAGAGTATTTATTCAACACGGTTGCTGTCTGCATGATTTGTGTATTTAAGTGGCTGTACCCGCAAGAATGCAATATTCCTGCATTCATTTCAAAGTTTGAAGGTTCCTATAAGGCAGGGATTCTCAGGGGAATGTTGTAAGGGGAGAGCCTATGTGAGATTTACATAAATACATGTCAAAAGGAAGCATACATCTTCTAAAAGCGAAGGACAGGGGATAAGAATTACTTCTGGCTCACAATGAAGATCCATCAAAATCTGGGTAATGCAATGGAAATAAACCTGACCCACAGACAACAGGGCTGTGCCTTCTCAGTGTGCCACCCAAAGATGAGGTGTGTTCTGTGGCTCACGACCAGCAGTGGGGGTGGGGAACAGTGTTTGATCCACTAACGAGGACTGCTATTTTTCAAGTCTAAAACTACAGAGCAGCAACTCAGTGATGAGAATTATTGGTAATTCTCATTTAAGGTTTCTTTGAACTGTATAACTTTTCCCCTCGGACTCCTTTGTTTTGCTGCTGCAGTACAGGATGATTAGAAAGTGAGAAAGCCCCCTAATTCTGGGCTGGACCTGGGCAGTGGGCCAGGACTGTGCCATCATGGATGTGATATCCTTGCAGCTGGGAATCCACTTCCCAGTTTTGGCAACACTTCAGCTCCTGACTGTATAACCCAGCTCCTCTTCCATGGTGACAGGGCTGGACCCTGGCTGACCTGGGTTGAAAAGGCAGGCATCTGATAACATAATCCCCAATTCCAGTGCACCTTACAGTCACCTGGACCCAAATGCCTGGGTCAACCAGAGATTCACCTAAAGGAATGAGGAGGGGCCAGGTGTGGGTATTTTTTTTGTTGTAAATTCCACAGTGATTCAAACAGCCAGGATCAAGAACTACTTGTCTACTCAAAGTTATGAGAATCAGAACACAAATGCATTTCTTTACAAAACTTCCATAACTTTCAGGCAGTTTGCTAAGTCACAACAGTCCCATGCCCCCTCCAAATGAAAGGAAGCAGAATTGTCAGGCATTTTCTTTTCCATAACAGCAAAAACCCCTTCTGGTTACCCCTGCAGGTTTACAAAGGTCCACACAATCCTACTCCTCCGAGTCAATTGGCCCATATGTAAAAAAAATTTCCATTTTCCTTGCTCACAATAATTCAAAAACAATTGCTCAGCAAAGTAAACAGTGGCTAATAATTCTGACTACTTATTTTGCTGTTCACAGAATCTAAATGTCTTCCTATGTGTGTGCTAGGTGAGGGGCAGTGTGAGAGATTAAAATCCCAGCTACCCTCACAAGAAAGGGTAATGCCATTTTTATTCATTATTTCAGAAAAATGCTTTGTTAGAGAAATTTTATTTAATAATCATATATTAAATGGTTAGGGGATAAAGACTGAAAACTAGACTAGAGCTTCTACATTTGTTTGCTAGTCAAATAATGCCTCATTTGACTGAATATAAATTCTGGAAGAATGAAAAACAGCAGCTAAACAGCCACACATTTGATTATTCTCTGGTCATTACCAGAAACAGGTCTTCAATGCAGTGAATGCACCCTTCATGATGACTGTCCCAACCTTCTGCAGTTTCATTAGATTCAAATGAATATTCAGTGAGTGACTGCTTATAAGGAAGGCACTCTGCTAGGCACTACGGGTTTATAAGATACTGCTGCTACTTTTGGGGATCAAATACTCACAGGCAGAAACAAGAGGGAAAAGATCAGAAATGTTTTTTACTTACTTATACAAAAAAAAAAAAAAAGCCTTGTGCATTAAATTCTGCCATACCTTCAATATGCAGATAATCATGTAGTAAGTGCCAGATTATTGGTGAATTTGCAGCGGGGGAGGGTTTGGAGGATGGAGGGCAAAGGGTATCGAGAGCGTGTGTGTGTGTGTGTGTGTGTGTGTGTGTGTGTGTGTGTATGTGTGTTAGAAAGTGAGGCTAAGAGGGCAACAGAGAATGGGACTAGTCAGCGGTACAGAGGGTTTCTTCCTCCCCAATCTGTAAGCCAGTTGAAGAGAACAGCCTTCCTTAAAAAGGTGGCTGTTGTCTATATGCATATTAAGATGCTGCAGTTCACCTCTTACAGCCTCCAAAGAGACCCATTTGTTGGCTGAGTAGGGCTGTGGATGGGACCAATAGAACAGGTGTCAAATACCTCCAGGCAATATCTTGCTTCTCATGACTTTAGGCAAGCTAAATGAGTCATGTGACCCTGCCTCCATTTCTTTATGTGACAGTAGGTGACACAGCACTTGGCCTACATACTTCACAGGCTGTTCTGCCAACCAGATGTGAAAGTGCTCTGAAAAGGATCAAGTGCTTACAGCAAAAAAAAAAAAAAGGAGGTGGTGGTAAGAACTGCCCTTAATTAATCCATCTCTACAAGACACAAAAATAACGGTTAGCCTTATAACATAACCCATTGCTTATTTCTTATAGGATGGATTCAAGGTTGCCATAACACAATGATTTGCTAACCCTATAGAAACAATAGAGAAAAAGGGCTCACTAGTCAGGAATAATTAGGATAACAGCCCATATGTCTACAAAGAAGTTGGGTAAAGAGAAGTTCACCTTCGAAACAATTACGCAAGTTCCTTTGAAGTCAGTGAGAACCTTAGAGAAACACAGTTCTCGGGGAACTGCAGTTAATATGCCTAATGACACTACCTGTTAATGACACCAGAGCATTTTCACAACTCTTTGTCTTTTAACAAGAACCTGTACACCTAAAACACATTTTCTAGGCAGCATGTTAATGAGATATCCTAAACACCCAGCAATCCTCACCTTCTACCATCGGCTGTCAGCGTTTTTCTTTTCCCTGAACCTGGTGCCCTGGGGCAGGGTGCCTGGGGCATGCAGAGGCACTGCTTACCAGGGAGCTGGTCCTGCTGTTTCTTTAGCTGGGCACCAGTTGTACACATGTGTTCAATTTGATGAAAACTCATCAAGCTTACATTTATGAGTAGTGAGCTTATCTTTGGTGTATTATACTATAATAAAAAGTTTACCCAAGAAAACCCCAAAAACAAAAATCTCAGACTAGATGATATCCTTACAGACTGAAAATGGATGACAGGTAGTTGGCCAGACAGGAGTTTGGGGATCCTGGTGGCTGTGAGAGAGGTAGGATAAGGGTCCATGTCAGAGAAGGAAGGGGCGTGAGAAAGAGAACCGCATACCAGAGACTGCAGGTCGTGGAGGCCCAGGATGCCCTGACGGTGCACACTGATGCCCTGACCTAAGCTCCTGGGCCCTCCAAGTGTTGGCAGGCCCCACACTTACTTGTCAATGCTGGACTTGGTATCAGCAATCTTGTTCAGGCTAGATATCTTGAATCCGTAAGCATTGCCTCTTTGGCCTTTATTCATGTAATTTCCAAATGCCAAGACCACTTCTAGCAATTGCTTCAGGGCACTGCTCCTCAATACCTCTTCTGAGCCAAAACGGATTGCTTCAAAACAAAGCGGGCAAAAGCAAAACTATTACAACTGAGACTTCTCAGTGATATCCATTTCAAATCCACACACACAGAGTGAAAATGGAAGATGGGCCATTAGACCACCAGGGAACACCTGCAAAACACCTACACTAGTAGCACAGAGCAAGGGGACAGGGACAGCCTGCTAAAGTTGTTCAAGAGACCCACAGAGAGCTGCATGATCCTTTCCTTTCTTGGTCGTTTTCTCAGCTGACTCATCAAGCATAAGCAGTTAGAAATACATAGAAGAAGAGCAACCGCATTGTCCGCATTCCTTTGCAAATACAGTCTTGCTTAGGGTGAATCAGATCTACAGGATTACTGATCAATTCCATTGATAGAAAAACTGGCCAAGTGTGTTCCATGTTACAACTTGCAGGTATCACCAGGGACTGGGGCTCAAGGTAGGTCCCAAGTCAGCCTGTATTCTGTGGCTGTGCTCTTCAGTTGGCCACATTCCAAACATTTAAATATTTAACAGCCTCAAAATCAAAACATACAAGTCTCAAATCTTCCCTTATGAAAATCTAGTTAAGGTTCCATTGAAAGAAAACTAATTACAGTCTCAATGCCAGTAGCAGTCAAGCTCCTCATGAACACCCAGGATGTCGAAAGCCCAGTTTTGCAGAGGAGCCCAGGAGGTGTGCTGTGAGCGCCATAACCCAGGCTAGGCCAGCAAGCCAAGTGACGACCTGAAGTAATTATCTGTCAGAATTCCAAAAGATTTCAAGCAAAAAAATCACAAAAGGGATCCTATTTACTATGTGCACTTGGATTGTACTTGTGAACAGGCACTTAAGATGAACATCTTTCCAATCTGGGGGCTTGACTTTACCTTCCACTTTAGGTTTCACTTCTGCCACACGCTCTGCAAACTTCTTTTTGAAGTACAGCGCTTGCAGTCTTTGCTGATAATGATTAATTCTGTAAGAGCAAGCATGCACCAATGAACATTTACTGAATACATACATCTATGTTCACTCATGGATACAAAGGTGGAGGTACCTTAGAGCACCTCCCTCAAACACACACGCGTGTACACACACAGAGTTCCTCTCCTGGCCAGGAGCACAGGGCATGAGGCCAGCTTTGCCTGGGGAGACCATTTCCCTCTGACCTATTCTGGGCAATTACAGCAGAATCCTTGCCTCCGGGCAGGTTAGGCAACCACTGAAAAATGGTGAGAGTTGGCTACTATTGACTGAAGTCCCCTTTTCCTTCCTCAGAGTCCCAGCAGCTCTTGGGAACAGAGAAGAGATAAAAAGGAAGGAAAATGTTGGCTCCCCATTTTGCTGCAAATAAAGGGCTGTTTCCCACCTTTCTCCCATGCTTAACTTTCCACAAAGGTTGCCTTTGGCAAAACTGTAGAATTAACCTTGTTGCCAGCATTTTCTCCTCACATCATCTCCCCAGTCAGGGCCCCAGACCTTCCCCTTTCTTTACAGTTAGTTACCCGTCTGCTCCTCCTAGGGCTGGCAAGCTGTCCCTTCCAAGACAGCAACTAGCCACTTGAGATAACAGGGACACAAGCTGGCCTCTAATCACCAAGACAAGCTGCATTGTGTTGCTGAGGGGGTGGGGGGTGGGGTGGGCATCCTCACCCAGGCCTTCTGAAATCATGGCATAACCTGCCCTCCAGTGGAAGTTTGCGTCCAGTAGGACTAGGGGTCAGCTCCTCCAAAACTATGCCACATAGTTAGAAGACCTGGGTTTGCAGCCCGGGTTCTTCTCTTCATAGGTGACCTTGAACAGGTACCTTAACTTCTCCCTACCTAACAGCCTCCCTGGCAGGGCTGATAGGAGAATTAAGTGGGATGATTAGTGCAAAGATCGAGACAAGCACTAAGTGGCAGCTATTATGGGTGGCCATCTATTTGCCTACATGTAAGGTTTCTGGGCACACCTGTCAAGTTTTAAAACCATCCCTTGCCCTACAATAGTAAACAAAAAAGCAGATTGAGATGGGACAACCACAAAATTAAGTCTGGATATGGTAGAAATATAGAATGAGAGGCATATTTACCCTGGCTACCTGTGTAGGCTTTGGCACCCGGGGAGAGCTCTGCCCTGGGCCTGACTGAGAGTTTCAGGACCACTGGTCCTTGTCTAAAGCAGAATCCACTCCCTAGGCCTGGGATGGCAAACAGACTCAGCTCACACACCAAACTCAATTATGAAGCAGTGGCTGCCCCCAAGGCTTTCTGCAGAAGGGAGGAGAAAGCTCGCCAAGGCTCAGTGGGCAGAGTGCCATGACTGATTAGTGATGTCTGCACATGTCGTGGTTTGACATCCAGACCCTGGCTGGTCAGTTATGTGGGCTGTCGCATAACATCACCAAGTTTGTCCAACTTTTTTTTTTCTGTTTTACAACTTTAGATGCTGAGGTACAAGGAGGAGTGAGATACAATCCTAAGAAGTCAAAGTGGTGAGGACAGTGACACTGACTGGAACCACGAAGAGTTTATGAATTCATTAGGTCAAAGTGCCCAGAATGCGAGAGAATTGTGAAGAAACCCTGAGCCCGGCTTACCCATGGGCAAGAACTTACATAAACAAAACAAGTTCCACACAAGTCAGGCTTGAGAAAATTTTGGAACTTGAAAAGACTTCAAGTTCAGCCAGGTTAACTGGCCCAAAGAACTCAACATAAATACAAAGTTTAAGTTCCTTAGGAAGATAAGGAGCTTCTTTACTTTTCAAGTATTTTCAAACTCACCGGCTCATCTCAAAAAGGAATCTATCAGCCTTGGCCATCCGATCCAGTTCATGTTTATGTTCCTCCAGTAGGTCAATGTCACTTTTTTCAGGAACAAATTTCAAGAGCTAAAAAATACATGCAAATATTAAAAGTGAGGTTTATAATTTAAATTCTTGCAATTTTTCACCCTTTCAGTTAATTTTCCCATGATGAAATTTTAACTTTTTCTTACTTTATAAGCTCTGTTAACAAGTGATTGTTAAGATACAACAGAAAAGATCAACTCTTCCCCTTTAGGTGGCCAAAAGGTACATACTTCCAGTTATAAGATTAGTACTAGCGGTGGTGACTGAACACTGCTGTATGACACATATGAAGGCTGTTAAGATAGTAAATCCTAAGAGTTTTCACCATGAAGAAAACATTTTTTTCTTTGTTTGCTTTTTCTTTTTCTTCTATCTATATGAGATGATGGGGACTAACTAAACTTACTGTGGGAATCATTTCACAATATATGTAAGTCAAACCATTATACTGTATACCTTAAACTTATACAGTTATGTATATCAATTATATTTCAATATAACTGGAAAAAAATCTTTCCATTTTTACTTGAAAGTAGTTAAATTGATGTAAGATTTGTTCCTGGCATCTTTCTGTTCTACATTGCCTCTCAAATCAAAATTGCTTTAAGGAAGTTCTGTACCAGGACCCACTGTGCATGGACCATCGAGGGACCCTGGAAATTCAACCCTCTCATTAGAAGATGATACAATTCAGGTCCAGAGAGATTAAGACACCTACCAAGGATTACAAAGAAAGTTCATGTAACTGTCAGAAATAGAAGCTAGGTTGAGTCCCAGCTATATGCTTTTTTTTCTATTAGTCATGCTGGAATGAGTATCTCTGTGTATTTCCCATTCAGTTTACTTATTCCTCTGGTTTATCTAACTCTATCTCATTTTTTTGCTCCATGTAGAGGTGAATAAGAGGAACACAGTGGGGTTTTAAGTGGGAATACTTCCATATTTTATTTTGGAGGAAGAAAGGATCATGGAATGTGGAAAACATAGCAATAGTATTTAAAGTTGAAGAAGCAGTTTTTTATGTGTCTGATTTCCTTTAAAGGTACAAATATGTATATATGTATGGGCAGGCCTGTGTATGTGTGCAGTTTTCTAGATCTAATGCCCTTGGACTTTTTTTTTTGTAAATTTACACTGACCCTCTAGACATCAAGGTCTCCCCATAACTTGGTGCTGATATGGGATGATTCATTTAGATTTTCAAATGTTTGTTGGATTTAACTAAGGGACCTCAGGAAAGGCAGTCGGTCTGGGTGCCACCAGAAGCAAATGAGAACTGGAGCTACAGGGAAGGAGGGGAACGGTATGAGGTTGGAAAATATTCTAGGCAGAGTGCGTTTGGTGTGAACAGTACAGGTGGAGGAGCAGCTGTAACCGCAGTGCGGGAGGGTGACAGTGGTCCAGGTCAGGGAGTGGGAACGACCTTATAAGAAGTTCAGTCTATTTTTGAGGTCACTAGGATGTAACTTAAAATCTTACATAGGTGAATGAATTTGATTTTTAAAAGATCACTGTGCCTACAGAAAGGAGAAAGAATTAGAAGAGATCAAAAGTCTTAGGGGGTTGTGATTAGACAGTTGAAGCAGTGATCCAGATGGGGGATGGCAGTGGCCTGGGTTGGGAAGTGGACAGATTCTACAGCTATTTTTAGGGGGTTTGGATAGAACTGTCCTGACTTGTTGAAGGATGGATTATGGTAGATGAGGGTCAAAAGGGTGAGGTCCAGGGTTCTGGCTTCTGCAACAAGGTACACAGAGTGTAACAGGGAACTCAGGAAAAGAGGTTGGAGGAAGATAGGTGTGGAGAAGGAAAGTTTATTGTTTGAAATGCTGGCAAGAGAACTAAGGGATGATTTTCAGTAGGTGGGCAAATGGCTCTGAAATCCTAGAGAGATGTGTTTGCAAGATAATGCACTGGTGGTAGTTGTAACATGCATGGATATGAGTGAGGTAACCAGGATCCATCAAGAGAACCCAGGAACCAGGGCTGCAAAGAAGACATCATTTTAAGGGAAGAGAAAAAGAAGAACAGGAACCTTCAGAGAAGACAGTGAGGAGCAGGGGGGCTAGAGGGAATTGCAGGGCCAAAGGGAGAAGGTGTTTCATCATGAAGCAAGTGTCCATTGGCATCACACACTACCAGGAAATCAAGGAAAATGACTGCCAGTGTCCCCTGGCTTTGACAACAAGGAAGGTGTGTGTCTTTAATGAGAACAGCTTTAGGGAGGTAAAGAAGATAGAGTGCAGTGAGTTGAAGAAAACAGAACAGAGGTGAGTGTGGACAAGCTTCCAAGAATTGTGGTTGTGTCAAAAAAGAGAGTGGACAATAACCCGACAGGTATGTGCAGTGTGAAGAAGTGTGTGTGAAAGGCTGGAACAAGTTTGTGTCAAGGGACAGAGGTAGAAGATGTAGAGGAGGGGGTGGCATGCTCTGATCCAGCTGGGCCCTTGTACAGAAAGAAGGGACAGACTAGAGCAGAAGCCAGGACACCCCTCTTTCCTAATGGGATGGAAAGAGGCAAAGATGGAGAAGTGGATGCCATGGGGTTCAAAGGTCTGATGGCCTGATAGCTCTAGCACTTACGTGCCTCTGGTTCAAATGGTTGCACTGGGAAGGACAAGTTTCTTATTCTGCCTTAGTGCAGGGAGGGAAGGCAGCAGAGCAACAGGAAGGAAGGAGGAAGAGAGAGAAAAAGGCTTATGTGTGGACTGTCATCTACTGGACAAGGAAATTCAGTTCTAGTCTCACGGATAGCCCCCCACCCCACTACCAGTCACACTGAGCCCACAGCCCCCTGTTAGGATAACACAATGACTAGCTCTCTTTTGGAACTTACAAGAACACAGCATGAGGCACATACTAAAGGCTCAGTCAGTCCTTCTCAAAGCAGAGTTGAGTCACAGACTGTGTATGGATAGTTTTAAGAAAGGAATGAAGAGTTAGACAAACACCTGGGAATAAGAAAAAGGTACGCAATCTAAGAAAGAGAAATGTATTGATCTCATCTGAGTTCTGAAGTCAGCAGCTAAAAGCAGCAGAAGAGGAAGGAATGAATGTGGCTCAAATGCAAATCATAACTCTGAAAAGAGATGCTGGCTTCAAAGTTTATCTAGGAAAAGTGCTGTATGAAGGAAAAGGAAACAACAGAAGAATGGTAGAGTGAGGAAGAAGAGAAAGAGCGTGGGGGTTGAGCAGAGAACGAAACATAGAATTGTTAGGAGAAACCAGGTCAAAATATCCTCCTTGGCCAGATTCGGCTTCAGTAGACTGATTTTCTTACTTGTATTTATTTCAAGTACATTCTATTTGCACTGCAAGCCCTTTTGGCAAGATTTTGAAATCCTTTCCCTCAAGGAGGAATTTTGCTGGATGCAATTTCGCAGTAAACAGATCTTGTGGAATTTTAAACATAGGACCTTGTCAATGGGGCTGAAGGCCCAAGATGAAAGCAGCTTTCTGCAAAGTTCTTCACTCTGGGTGAGCAGCGTCTGATGCAGACAAGAGCATGTGGTCAGCTGGGGGCTGGGGAGGAGAAGAGGGCAGCTGGGGCAGAGACTCTATCCTGACTAGTATACAGAGAGGGAGAGGGAGAGCGTGTGGAGGAGCTGTAAAATGCTCTAAAAAATGAATTTTAGGTTTAGGAATTTATTTTGAACTATTCATACACAGAGCATCCTGAGAGACTTGGAAACAGAGCCATTAACTGTTCATAATGAATCAAACCTTAAAAGGGTAGCATGAGAAGTTTTTCCACTGCTAAGTGTGAGGGTTTCACCTAGGACAACTGTAGCTGCAGAGGCTTCAGGGAGGGACGGGTCCATTTGGGTGTGGTGACACCACATGCCTCACTCCTTCCTGCTTTGTGTCTGGGGCCTTTTAGGACATCGTGAGAACCATGGAAAATGTACATGGGGATGAGCAGGCGCTCCACCTGGACCAGCCTGGCTAGCCGGGAGCACTGTCAGCAGTGCAAACTATCCTTTTCCTCTGCTCTTGGAAGCTGAGCATGCCTATAGATGAAACCCTGAGTTCAGCCTGGAACCATGATCACTTGTGTCCACAGATGACCTTCAGTGGCCCTGGCTCTAACAAATGAGGGCCTCTTGACCAAAATCACTCAAAATATGATTCCATCCCAAGGACAATGAGACAAGTGGACAGACAGCCTTAGAGTAGTCTGAGAGTATCTCCACAGAGCACAGAAAGACGTAGGCCCAAAGAAGGAGGCAGGTGATAATCTCTGGAATGTCTCTTAGGTCACCAACACTGTCTGTGGGGAACAGTTGAACAGAGCTGCTGAGTAACACGTAACACAGAAGCAGTGGCCACGGGGAACGTGTTATAGAAATACCACGTGAAGAGAGACAGGGTCACTACATCCAACTTCCTGCCTGGCCATAAGAATAACACAAATTTTCTCCAAATGGCATGAACGAGGGTGGGTACTGACTATGTGTAAATCCATCCTGGACTTGTGAGCCATGACCTTTGAATTTACTGCCATTTATGACACAAGACTAGCTTATGACTTAAGAGACAAGACTCAGTCCCAAGAAACGTACACCCCACCTTATACCATGTGATAATTTTGATCCAGGTGACAGTGCTCAGAGTTTAACAGTGGTCTTGTGGTTGTGGGAATGGTGAGCAAAGACCAAGATACAAATTGTATTAAGGATTTAGTAATGAGTCAGTTTACATGGTCCAGTCTGTGATCTCACAATGCTAGTGGGATTCTTGATATTCCTGTCAAACCCGGGTTTTCTTAAAGCTACCACATTTATATAATGTACAAAGGCATATACCTTAATTACAGCATGAAAGACAGGGCCTGGCATGCCGTTCCCTGGCATTTGACAAACTTTTGACTTTCCTTTTCATGAATCATTTTGAGGTACAATGAGAGAATAAAGTCATAGTCTCCTAACAGAGCTGAATGGAACCCTGCTTCAGCCTCTTCAGTTCAGAGATGAGGAAACCATCTGCCAACAGCAACCAGATTTTCTCATTGTCCCACTCCCTGCTCAAAGTCAGTTGTCACCTGTGCTCTGAGATATGTCTGGCAGCTCACCTGTTCCAACATGTCCTTGGGCAGATCTTCCTGCTCATCCATTGTTAGAATTGCCCGTTTAATTTCATCATTAGATAATTTCAACCTGGAGAAAGAATATTTTATTTTGTTGTTAACAATATTGACTTGACTTTTAAAATTTAATTCAAGATCATTCATTTTGTTACTCTCGCTGCTGATTTTCAAGTATTGTTTTTCTCAAAATCCTTTAGTGAAAGCTTATTTCCTGACAATATTACACCCAAGAATAGTATTTTGAAACTGTTTTAACATTCTTTCAGGGCTTTGTAATGCTCTGCTGACACAGAGATCAAAGCTGTTATAGTCTTTCATTTAGTTTCCTTAAGCAAGGAATTGAAAGATGAGAAATAGGGAAATCACTCACATACAACTTTATAAAAAAATATAGTGTCCGTGAATTGCAGAAGAAAAGAAAACTAAGTTTCTTAATTTCATTATATCTCAGGAGTTTTAAAGTTTGCTGTCAGATTAAAAATGGATTTTAAGAAGGTTAGAATCTTTGTTACTGTTAAAAAGTTAAACAGTTAATATATAAAATAAAATGTATAAGCACTTCCTAGTTGGAGAGTTGTCACACATATTTCATTTGAGCTTCATAATAACTGTGATTTTTTTTTTTTTAGAGAAAGAGGCTCAGAATGGTGAAGTGATTTGCCCAAGGTCAAACATACACAAAGTGGCAATATCTAACACAAACCTAAAACTCTTGATTGCTAATCATAAATTCTTTTACAAATGTTGGTTATTGTTATATCTCATAGGAAAGGATTTAGGCAAAAAAACAAATCTGTTTTCTGACTACCATAAATTTTTATGATTAATTTCATCAAGGACTCAAGTCTTGATTATGTCAGGACAACAAAGGGTTGACTATAAAAAGAGTCATGAAATTAGAACACAGTTGTAAAAATGTGTTCTTATGAGACACAGCAAATAATATTCTTAACCATGGCAAAAAAAATCCTAATCAGATTATTACTTGTAACAGTAGTCACTCTTTGGTTCTATTTATAAGCATTAAATCCAGACTTATTTTAAAAATCTTACTTCCTTATGAGCTACCATTAATGTGGTATATTAATATTGTCTGTCTTGTCCTCTGGTCTGTGATCTTCAAGAAGCATCACATTTAGGACTGGAGATAAAGACCTAAACACAGAAAATCAGAACAACATGCACAGCCTTCAGGACTAACTCTGGAGGGCAGGACTTGGACATCTAGCTGGCCGCGCTCCATCCTGCCTGGGGCAGTGTGACCCTGGACAGAGTTCTTCTTGATCCTCAGTTCCCTCGTCTATAAAATAGGGACAATAATAACTACATTTAGGAAAAGAAGGATTGTGCATGTGTGTGTCTGTGTGTGCGTGTGTGTGTGTGTGTGTGTGTGTGTGACAGCATTCAGCAGTGGCCTTGTGGTTGTGGCAACGGTGAGCCAAGACTGAGATTCAAATAGTATTAGGATTTAGTAATGAGTCGGGGCTGGCCACAGAAAGGGCTCACTAAACTCTACGTACATTCTACAAAGCCAACTTCTCTACACCAGCGGAAAAACCGGCAGTACTTAAGTAACTTTGATATTCACATGCAGCTTTCTGGTCATTAAACAGTGCTTAGTAGGGTTATTATGAACACTTTCTAAAGCACTCTTTTATGCATTATTTCACCAGTTTCCTCTCTATATACATCACCCATTAGCCCCAGGAGTCTTAAAGCATTAGAAGACATGGTTCTCATTCTAAAGGTGGTTATTGTTTGGGAGAATCAAATGATAAGCTGAAACACTCAAGACATAAGGGTGTGTGACACACACACACGGCCACCCGTGCTCCCCAGGTAACTGAGAGGGCTGAATGAGCGTGGGCATGGATACAAAGGCCCCGGGAGCAGGAGAGATCCCTGGGGAGGAGCTGGAGGAGACACACTCCACTCCGGATAACTCTGGTCTTTTTCTCTAGCTTTTGATATGAGTCTGTTAAAACCATCTGTCCTGCTATTTAAGCTGACTGTTGTTCAATGTGCCAATAAGTAGAAAAGGGAAGGAACACATTTGGGAATCCTATTATACTAATACCATTCCCTTCTACTTCACGTTTTCAAATCCAAATATAGCATCTAGGCAAACTGTATTCTAAAATGAGACCCACTCTGTCACCTAGTCCACGCTTCAGTGGGATCACAGCTCCCTGGACCTGGTGGATTTCTTTGATTGCTTTAGTCATTCTTGAGACAGTCGTTGCTCCATGAACATGTTCACTGGACCATCATGTTCACCCACAAACATAAATGGAACAATTTAGCCAAGTTGGCCTAGAAACCTATGACAGGAGAAAAACTGTATTGTTGCACCAAGAATCTAGCGTACAGGCCCTGGATGACCCTAGATTCCAGGATTCTAAAGACTCTTCTGTCAATTATGGGCAAGCACCACAGTGCCACCATGCAAGGCCGAGGAAGAGGAGCATTAGGGAGGGTTGAAACTGCCACTAAGGAAAATCAGTTGTCTGTGGGAATATCTGTAGTCATGAGAAAAGCTCTGCTTATAAGAAAAATTAGCTCTGTGTCCTTTTCACATCGAGTCAAAGAAACTATTTATGGTGTATGTAGTTCTGCTGAGTACTTCTGTTTTGCATTTAAAAGAAAATGAGTTGAAAATCATAGTGAGAACAATACTTTAAGTATCAGATTTGCATTTCATTAGCTCCCCATATGGGGTGTAGAACTTCTTGCTTTTGAAATTGTATATATTTATGCTCCTTAACCCCCACAGGCTGTCTGGACTAGACACTAGCTCTAATTCATAACAATTTTGGTTTCTCTTAATGGGGCCCACAGAGACTCGGAACTTTAATGGACAGTACTTAAGAAAATCTACCTGTCAACATACTGCCTGGCAAGTGGCCTGTTGGAGCGGACAAAGAACTGTGCCCTTGGGGAAAGAGGAGAAGGCTACGCTGCCACCCCCTCCCCACTCCCCATGCTTTTGGAGGTTGCCCAGTTCTCAGTATCATCTGTCCCACAGAATGAGTTGCTAATCTCTGTAATTCAAGGACCCTGCCAATTATAGCTTTTTAATTGCTTTTAAAGCTTGGCAGTGTTCTGGGGTGCAGGAGGGCGGCACCTTTGGAGACATCCACTGCAACTTTCTTTACAAGGCAGGAAACAAACCAGCCATTTTATAGCATTTTTAGTCTACCTTGCTCTACTCAGGTATTTCAAACATTTGCCAAGAGAACTGGAACACCAAGGCATAATTAAAATAAGTTAGGGAAGGATGGGCTCGATCAGCCTTAGCTCTGCTTCAGTGGATTGAAGCCAAATCCCCCTACTTTAAAGAAGCTTTTTGTGGTTTGCTATGTATCCTGGCTGCCATGTTAAGTGAGCATCTGGAAAAAAAAAGAGTGGCAGAACACTTCATAAAACTGTATTTTAGGTGGGTTCATTTTGCAATATAAACCTGCCTCCAAGTTTCTTTCTTTCTTTCTTTCTTTTTTGGAAGGGAGAAGTCTGTTTTAGGGAATAAGCAGAATGAATTTTAAATTGCCACATGTTGCGTATATTCATGTAATAGAGAAATCATTGCTTGGCTTTGCTTAGCACCTGAAGAATGGGTTCTCAGTGTAAGGGACATCATGTCCATTGTGCTCTCATCACATGTCTGTGAAAGGCGGAGTCCCTGGTGGCCTGGAGCTTTGATTCAAGTTCACACCTTCCTGGCAGACTCTGGGAGCTGCAGGTGATCCTGCCACTCATGACCTGAGCATTGTGAAAACGGCCTGCGTTCTCTCCCCTAACTGGCCCCTGGGACAGGGAGGGCTTTCCTTCCTACTGCTGTCCTGGCTCCAGGCAGGGTTGGGGTAGGTGCTCTGACCAAAGGGTCCACTAACCTTTGCAGTGTGGGTGTAAGAGTTTTTAAGGATGACCAAACATTTTGGGCTACGCTCATTAAAATACCCACCATGGAGTAAGCCACCATCAGCTTCCACCTGGTGGGATCTGGTATAATGACTGTCCTATGGGAATTACCTTCTTAGTGAGATAAGAAACAGAGAGGGCCACACTTTGGAAATGAAATAAGCTTAATAGAAAAAAGACAGCAAGCCTGGAATACTTGAGATCAACTTGGAAGTGTTCCTATTCATTGTCTCCATGCAAAAACCAGTCTCCAAGTCCTACTGAGGGTTTTGGTCTCTCTCAATTCTGTCCCTCATCAGGTCTCACCTGGACAATAGAAAGAGCCTGCCTAATGGCTGCCTTCCCTTCCAGCTCTCAAATCCTTCAACCTGTCCTGCAAACCCTTGAGAGAGCACACTTGAAACCTATTAAAAACCTTATTACAGGAGGGTGTTGTGCTCAGTGAGCTGGGCTGGGCGGAGGGGGACAGGTGCCAGGTGATTTCACTCATCTGTGGAGTATAAGAACAAAGCAAAAACTGAAGAAACAAAAAGCAGCAGACTCACAGAAGCTAAGAATGGGTAACAGTTACCAAAGGGAAAGGGACTGGAGGTGGGGGTGGGAAGGGAGGAATAAGGGGAATAAGGGGCATTACGATTAGCACACATAATGTGGGGGGTGGCACAAGGAAGGCAGTATAGCACAGAGAAGACAAGTAGTGACTCTATAGCATCTTACTATGCTTATGGACAGTGACTGTAATAGGGTATGTGGTAGGGACTTGATACTGGGGGGAATCTAGTAACCACAATGTTGCTAATGTAATTGTATATTAATGATGCCAAAAGAAAAAAAAACACAAGAACAAAAACCTTATTACAAAGCATTCTCCTGAATAATTTGCACCAATTCCCAAACCCATGGGTACATAAACAGACCACTTATTGAGCAGCTACCACAGGCATCCACCCTGCCAAGTGCTTCACAAGCACTTGGTCAAATTCTCACAAGCCCCCTGCAAGACCACTACTTCCATCATCTCCATTTTATAGATGAGGAGGGTGTGGCTTAGCCCTGGACTGACTCAGGCCCTTACTCTGCACCAGGCATGGATCACAGGCTCACCTGCTTGGCCTCATTTATTTCAGTGGGTTAATTGTGCAAGGGCAGGCCTCTCCTTAGTTATGCTTATGCCCCTCTGGTGCCTCTGCTCCTCCTATCCCCCTCCCCCATGTAAGGGCTACTGCCTCCAACATCCTCTGGGAACCTGCTGGTACCCCTCTCACTTGGCCGAGCTTCCCTCTCCTTCCAGTCAGAAGCCCAAGCCCTGAATTGTTCGCAAGTCATCTCGCCTATGTCATTTTTCTTCTCAAATTAGCCAAGAGCTTCCAAAGACAGTGTTGTTTTAAGTCTCAGTACATCCTGTGACACCCAGCTGAGTGCCAGGCAAATAAATGCTCTGAAGTGGTAAGTCTCTAAGAAAACAGTAGGAAACATGCCCTCACCTCCCTCTTCCCTCCTTTAAGCTGCTAGAGCTCCTTTGGTGTGCAGGAATGCATTGCCAGTGGAAGGCGACAATGAGAGCAAGGTAACCTGCTGACTGGTTAAACAGCTTAACAAAAGATGATTCAGAATTAATTCTGCTTAATTTCTTTTACCTTTACCATAGGACAGAGGATAAAATTATTGTGAAGAAAAGCATGTGGTACTACATCCTCTACGGGAGAGAAGGTTTTAGAGCCTGATCAATAAAGCCCAGTTACTACCAGTGAGGTCAATTAGGACTCAAAATTAGTTTGTTGTGCACAATACATTTTTTAATTATGCTAACTGTAATAACACTTACTCATTAAATTGGATTTTAATAGATAATTTAACGAATATAAGGCAAGTTCTTAAAATTGTCTTCTAGAGAGAGTTTAGACCTATTCAAGTTCTAATTCACCTTAGGCTCCTATACTTTTGAGGTAGCAAGGGAATTACATACCACAAATATGAAACAATTCCTTCAATAATGGGATGGGAAATCTGCCAGAAAGAGTTGTAGCCTTACCTATAACTAGTGTAATTACCCTCACTGGCATCTTGCATGGAGAATAATCTGTCTATGAGAAACTGGGTCATGGCTTTTACTCCTATGAGCACTTAAATAATAAAGAAATTCAGAGTGACAGCTCACTTTGTCAAGTTGTTTTAAAGTGTTCCTCTAGACTGTCAAAGCACAAAATAGATGGAGAAATTCTAGGATTAAAAAAAGTCATCCCCAAATTTTCATTCAATTTCATTATTAAATAAGTTATTTGTAAAAAGAAATTGGAACAAAGCAAATTGTATATAGTACAGAAGAAAAATAAGTAGACCTTAAAATTACTTTCAATGGTGTCTTCCTGAGCATGTGTTTGGGGAGCAAAAATGGAGATAAATATGGGGCCTGGCCATTACATGGATTCCAGCCAGATGCCAACCTGAAATGCTGAAAGGATGGTTTATGTTACCATACCAGTTGTATTAAAATTCAGGATTCACTAAGCTTCAATTTCTCTTTTACTAAAAGAAACACTTGCTCCCTAAAGTAATATATATCCGGCTACCAGTCAAGCTTCTGTGCTGCGAACCAACCCGCCATCCTTTGTGTTAAATGAAACTCATTCCAAGACCATCTAAAAAAAAAAAAAGACTATTAACTTTCCCTCTTTCCTCTCCCTGAAAGGGGAGTTACCATATTATCAGCCTCAAAAAAACATATACAACATGCTTTCCAGAATGTAACCAATATGACTTATACTTAATGCCCCAAAGTTCAGGGTTTTCTACATCTTTATTCACTTCACAAGCATTAGGTATCTTTGCCTGATGTGAAAGTCTCTTTTAGGGAAAAGAAGAAACTAGATACAGGAAAGCTCCTTGCGATCCCCAGGACGACCTGACACAAGGCCTGAGGCTGTAATCAGATCTCAGGCTCCCAAATTTCCTTTTTTCAAGTTTAAGGTTGTGATGGCTCACTCATTATGAGAAAGATTTCTGAGCAGGGGTGAACTGGATAAGTTTGCATTTCACTAAGGTTTGAGATTTATGTATTTTTTCAGTCATAAAAATGTTCAAAAGGAGCAGGAATCATACAACCTTGGAGTATAAAGAGGTGGCTTTAGGTAGCAAAATAAAACAGAGAGCTTTCGCCATCGGTGCTGGTCCCAGGACAGTGTTACTCAGGGTGAAACAACTCCAAGGCAAGAAGTATAGATAAAAGCAAAGTCCCTTTTACAGGCTCTCAGGGAAAAGTAAACAATTGATTTGGGATATCCTGCTTATTAAATTTTAGGTGTCTGTAAAAATTAAACTGTAAGAAAGAGGGCACCCAGCTCTGACATGTTCCATTAGGGCAAATAAACACCAACAATTCTCACCATAGACGGAAGAGAATCTGAAGACCTGAACCTTAGCAGAGTCCAATTAGAAGAACAAGTACAAATATGTGGTTTGGAGCCACATGATAGAAAAGTTGGTCCTACCAGAATGTTTAATCAACATTAACAATACCTTGAAAGAAGGATGTTGCAATTCTGAGCTCTCCGACCATCAATCACTGAAAGCTCTTTGACTTTAAGTTTGGAGCTCAGTGTATCATCCATGGCATCTGCTTCTTTCTGTAAAGAACATGAAAGAAATCCATCAAAGTCAAACAGGGACATTCCAACTTCAGACACACTCTTTTACTTTATATTTTGTTTATACACGCACACACACACACACTCTCTCTCTCTCTCTCTCTCTCTCTCTCTCTCTCTCTCTCTCTCTCTGTGTCTCTCATTTGTAGGAAAAGCTGAGATGGTGAGTAGGTGGTGGAATTGAAACCAAGGCAAAACAAAGGGAAATAATAAGAAAAGCTGATCACCCACATTTGAAAAAGCATTATTTGGAAGAGCACAGAGCTTCTAGGTTGAAAACAGAAAGCATTTATAAATTATCAGTGAGTGGCGCCCTCCTTTTGTCCCCCAAATCCCTATGGTAGCAAACTGAAAAACTGTCACTCTGAATCAAGCTCAGCAGAGGATTGCCATTGCAGGTCCAGCCACTGCCGGGCCAATCACTCCAGAACCATTTGCATCCTGAGCACTCAAAAAGCTAAACAATAAAACCTCCCAAACATCTTCATGTGTAATAGGAAGTGCCGAAGCCCATATGGTACCTTTCATTACCCTGAACCTAATGGACGAGGGGGAGGGGGCAGTTCAAGGCATTAGTTCAATTACTTGAACTAACAATAAAATGCTACTTGCACACTCTGCTGCTGTACAGAAAGCTGTAAGCAATGATGGCTGGTCATAATTTATGGTGGAAGAGGCCTAAAATATTCAGATATAAAATACTGTTTGAGTAAATTGGGCATCAAGGTGAAAATAGACTAACTTGATAACTAGCAAGTTTGATTTTATTAGAGATCAAGATTACTTTAAAAAATGGATCATGGCATTTGAAAAATGTAAGGAAACCAAAGAACTCTGGGACTGTGTAACAGTTTAGGAAACAAAGACAACACAGAATTTATAATAAGAGGCACCATGTGATCAAAGTTCAACTGTTTCTCGTCATGTAAAGATTTCAGGCATACCTCTAAATATTCAGTTAAAAGTTGAAACCCAGTGTGGAACTACCTGGCTTTACATTACCTATCTGTTAAAAAAAAAAAAAAAAAGGGAAAACCAAGACATTCAAGCTTACAGTGAGCCAAGCAGTTATACTAAGGAAGGTTTAGGTAGTAGCTCACTTACCTGCTTGGAGTTACTGTTCACAAAGAAATCCTACAGCCATGGCAGAGGCATGGAAAAGGCAAATCAGACACATGCAGTTTAGAAATCACAGCAATAAAAGGGGGAAAGTCAAAGCAGTCAAGGATATCAGTGACACAGGGTAAGAGATGACTTAGGCCCCTATGAGCAGCACTGAGAGTTGATGAAGACGAGAGGGCCCGGCTGAAGCTGTGATGAAGAGCGCAGTCCTGAGCACTCAGGGTAGAGAGAGAGGATGGCATGTGCTGTGCGGCATTCCCAATGACGGCAAACCAAATTCAGAAAATAAAGGGCTTAAAACCTCCTAGAAAGACCCAAGTTGGAAAAGGAACAAATCCTCTTTGAAAGGACCACTGGGCTTCATTTGTTCAACATGATTTTTACTTGAAGCAAGAAAATATCAATTAGTTCCATCAACTTGAAGAAACTACTCCCATTGTCGCGTAGTACCAGCAAAATATGCTTTTTTTTTGGTGGAAATAATCTCTTGTCTTCTTGTGTCATAAGGAAGGATTAAGAAAAGTTCAACCAAGATCAAGGCATCAATTCAATTACTTAAATTAACAATAAACCACTATTTGCATACTTTGCTGAGGTACAGAAAGCTATAAGCAATGATGGCCAGTCATTATTTATTGTGGAAGAGGCATAAAAAATTATATATAAAATACTGTTTTAGTAAATTGGGCACCAAGAAAAAAAAAACAGACTAACTAAGGTCAGCAATATAAACCCTCAGTACCCCTTGAGGGTCCAAACAAGGCCTGTGGGTGCTATGGGTCGGTATGAGGAAAAAGAAGAAGCAATTAAGAGACAATAAGTGATTCATGTGTGTGCAGCTACTGGTGGCCCTGTCCCAACTGCCTCGGGCTGTTCAAGCATACAAGATCAACAGCCTTTTCTTGAAACAGTTCATAGAACAGATCTGGAGTGGAGGCGAAAGAGGAAGTAATTGACATGTTATGAGTGAGTTACAGCTTTCTTTGCATATTTTTGCCATGCTGGAATGAATAAGCTTCGGTGTACAAAACGCACCCTGGCTTTCAGACCAACTGCTTGCACAACCACCATTTGCTCAGCAGATTCCTTAAGGCTTCACTGGTCCCAGCAGCACTGCCAAGGCCAGTTTTACACAGATGAGCTGTTTCACATCATTCTTTGGTGGGAAACAAAATGTGTCCTTCCCTTGATTCTCCCATACAAGGAGGGATTGCTTTTCTAGAATAGCAATTAAAAAATCAATTGATAACCACAAGAAACCTTTTTTCTCCTCTGATATCACAGTTTTCTTTTCTCCCAGTTGAAACTATCAGGTTTTCTACTCTGAAACTCCTTAGGACTCTCTCTGTAAAAGCATTTTCTCTTTCCAAGGGTGGAAAAAACTATGGTGAAGTAAACTCCATGAGGTCTTCTTACCCTGCTTTTCTCTCTTAAGGAGACAAGCTGCTAGCTGAATTTAGATCCTGCTCATACTGCTGGCCCCAAAGAAGAAACTTCTATGAAGTTCTCTGGCAACTCATTCTTTGTAAGTTCCCACTGTCAGGAAATTAAGACACCTGATTCCTACTGTAGTGGGCTATAGGATCAGGCAACTATCATTTACTAGGTATATGCTCATGCCTTAGCCTATCTGTAAAATGGGATTAATGGCTGGATTATAATTGTGAGGATTAAGTGTGATAATGCACGTAAAGCACTTTGTACAGTACCTGATGCTTATTTATGGACTTGATATTTGGAAGCTATCATACAATTATCTTACAAGCTGATGATCAAGTCTACTTTTTTCTTCTATTGCTCCGCTTTCAGCTGAGTTGAAGAACAGCTTATTGAGATCTCCCATTGGTAGCCAACAGCAGCAAGAAGTGTTAACAGTTAATAGTGAAGTAATGCATTTTATCTTTCCAGAGGTGAAGATCAGGAATGCCATGGGAGAGTTTGGTTAAACGTTAGGTTTAAAATTTCCATTCTTTAAGAGTCCTTTAATCATCACATTTTAAATAAAATCACAAAGCTTCTTAGATGGGGCATGTTAAAAATAATGATGCTTCAAGCCCTATTACAAACAAGTTAACATTCTTTTTGAAACCTCAAACTATTCGCTAATTATAAGGCTTGGGCCAAAGATGATAGAATTGTCTATATTTTGCCCCACCTAACAGGATGTCTGATATTTTCAGATGATTTTTGGTGTAGGGATTAGGGGCTGGACAAATAGGAAGTTAGGATTTACATTTTCAGGAACCAAGTGCTAACAGATTCCTACAGACAGGGTTCTACAGTGAAATGGTGACTCAACACATCACACATAATATTCCCTACATGAATGTTTTAAATTTCTTTTTGAGGCTGAGAATCCTTTGTAAATCTGATAAAAGCTGAGGATCCTCTCCAGAAAAATTCACATACTAATATTTATAAAATCTTCTATTTGATTAACTCTTACTGTGGAATCCAGTTATTGAACCTTCATACTTTATTTTGGTCCTAAGGAAAACTAGCATTAAAAGTTTCTCTTCTGCCTTCAAGTGCCATGACTAAGAACCAAGATTATTGAAATAAACATCCTAAATTGTATTTTCAATGTTAAAACCAGATATATAGAATAATGAAAAATGTAAAAAGAATAAAAAAAGAAAATTCTTTGACTATTTATAAATAATAATAAGATGCTAATGAATGTTTCAAATGAGACCCCAAGAATGACTTGTAGAGTACCCATTAGCAGGAGTGGTCAGATCCAGAGCTGGGGATAGCATACCTCTCTGTTCCCCAAATCAGATCAGACAGACTTGGAAACATTGTACAGTTGATCTTTGAACAGCATGAATTGGACTGTACAGTTCCACTTACACATAATTTTTTTTTCAATAAATATAGTAGAAAAGTTTTTGGAGATTTGTGACAATTTGAAAAAACATTTCCTTTAGTTTACTTTCTTGTCAAAATACAGTATATAATACATATAACACAAAATCTGTGTTACTAGTAAGGCTCAGTCAGGAGTGGGCTATAGTAGTTAAGTTTTTGAGAAATCAAAAGTTAAACGTGGATTTTCAACTGTGGGTGTGCCAGGAAGTAGGGAGGGTGGGGGAGGAGGTGAGCCAGCGCCCCAACCCTGGCATTGCTTAAGGCTCAACTATACTATGTGCTGATAACAGGACCTGTAAAGAAGGGGTGTCATCAGAGTTGGGAGGAGGAATGGAAATAGTGAGTTGTTAATTTATTGCTACAAACACATACCTCCCATTAGATACCTGCAAAGTTTATTTCCCTCTGTCCAACTGCACAGATAGAATTTATAACATCTATAACATCTGAAGATGAAAATTTCCCACAAAAGCAAGATGAATATTGTTTAACTGTATCTACAATAGTACTATTATGCAATGTGCCATGTTATGTATTAAAATATGTCTTTTGTGACTGGCCTGGGAATCATCTATAATACAGTTTCAATGAGAAAAAGAGGTTCTGAGATTCAAGGAATTGACTTTCAAATGAACTTTTGGAATGTGAGCAGGGGAATAACTGCTCGCTATTAAAGTCTATCTCATGTGGCACATAAGCTTCCATAATCAGCTCTGCACACCTTTGTATTCATACTAAAAAAAAAAAAAAGAAATTCTGAATAGGAATGGTCTTGTTCTTAAAACTGCAGTTAAAGAAAATGCATTACAAAGCCTGACACTCATAACAAATAAAACCAAGGTATAAGAACAAAGTGGAATGTAGAGTTATGCCACTTGTAGACCTGCCTGTGCCAGCTGTTTAGACACTGAATATACACAAAGCTGTATTTTTATTATCTGTGAAACAGGAATAATACTCACCTCACAGAGTGGGTGTGATATGAGGAATAAATTTTAAAAAAGTATAAGAGCTTCTTGAAAACTAAATTTTAGGGTTGGTGAGATTGGGAACTTATATTATACTCAGCACCAAAACTGTAATGGGTACTTGACACTGACTATGACCTACGAGTCTACATTATGGTTATTCACAGACTGTCCTCACTTCGGCTTTTATATTTTAAGTTACACCGTAGGTTCAACAGTTTAATACATTTGCCTCCTTTGAACTACTTCATATATGAAACAGACAGTACAAATATCTGTTCTGCTTTTAATAACATAATCAATGGGGCATATCATGTGTGTGTATTTATTTATATAAAATCTTTCCTAAGTGTCATTAATCAGTGTGCACATGTTATACTAATCTGGTACTTGAAATTTTTCCCCAAATCTTACTCTTTGTAGTGTTCCTGTTGCATGAATGCAGATAATGGTATTCACATGTTCCTTAGCCTCCTTGAGAAATTTATGTGGCCAAAAGATGGCTGAAGTCCAGACAGAGTTTGACCAGGTTTTATAACTGGAGAGAAGAGGAGATACCATAGAAAAAAATAGGTTCCCAGTATTCACTTGGGAGTGGAAAAGACAGCAAGCAGTTCAAATGCGATAATTATACAGTACATTGCCAAGTCGAGAATGAAAATGCATACGTCTTGGACACTGCCATTAGTTATGAAACTGGGGGACATTCAATGACAGGTACCCCATTTCCTTTACATATTCCTCCTAGAATGTCTGCATCTTTTGATTTTCTCTCAACATTCAGTAAATTTGATAAAATGTCTCAAATAACTTTCCTTTTGGAAATATAATTATGGTTCAAAAATTCTCATCTCAAATTCTTGTACCAAGAAGGGAAACATACTTGAATCAAACAGGGCAAGTGTTGAAATTTTTCCCCAGAAAGTGCTATTGAAAATGTCACAAATGATTCTACTTACCAGTCTACTTAGTGTTAAGTACAACTGAAATGTTCTGGTCTATCCTGATTGGAATGACTACTGATTACTCACAGTGATTGGTTGCTAGGACAGAATTATCCAACTGCTAAGCTTTCTGCAACCCTGTCTTCCAGACCTCTTGAGAAATGGCCACATACTTGTCCCAGAGCATTTTGGCAACATCCTTCTGCACCTTCTGCTGAAAGCCAGTTAATTATGAGTTTTGTAAACTTGGGTCTTTCAACCACCTGCCTTCATAATAAATGCAACCCACATGCTCAGACTTGAATAGCATCACTTGGAATGACTGCTGTTTTGCCTTCCTTTACTTTACTTCTCTTAAGTCCCCAAACTTTCATCTCAGGTGACCAGAATGGAGCAGCACTAGTGGCTACAGCTGAAGTGGAAATCAATGAGATGTGCAACAAGGTCAGAGGACTATTTGGATCCACCAGAAAATTTGCTAAAATGTCCTAAGACATCACATCAAGGCCCCACACAGATGGCAGAGCTGGGGGTGGCGGTGGGGGTGTGGGGCGGGGACGGAGGGCAGGAAGGAGGAAGAAGGCAGTGAGGGGAGGCCAATCGGGAATGAGTCTGGGCCTAGCACCTGTGTCTGAGGGCTCTAAACATAGCCTTTGTTTGTACTTCGAAAGAAAGATAAAGCATCTTGCTGGACATCCTATCTCCCTTTTCTTCACTGTCCTTTATTTGATGTGTGCCACACTGCACAAGTGTTCCTCTGCACTTAGGGGACCCAACTAGGGCTCCTGTTTTAGGGCATGCTGACCTAAACCTGTGTTTTTGACTTTACTAAAATAGCATGAAATGCAATACAGAGAAGTTTTCCCTCTGAGTGAAGATATTCTGACTAAAGAACGTACTACCTTTTCAACTTCAGATGCAGGGAAGGCCATTTTGAAAATAAAACTCCCTCAGCTTTTGTTTTTCCCCCAGTCTCAGTCCGTCTTCTCTCGTGTTTGGGAGTTCTGTTTTGAGACACTCTTTCTTGGGAACCAGGCCAAACCTAAGCAGACTAGGAAGTCTGCTGCTTATCTGAGGATGCTCCACCCCAGGCGTGACTCATGTGGGAGTTAAGGGCCTCCCAGCAGAGCCGGAGGAGAGCCCTGTGCAGATGTGGCCAGGCATCCATGTGTTCCTGTTAAGATGTGCTTTCTCCCCTTATCATTTCTCTCCATTATTCTCCAGATTCTTTCTTTTCACACTCCACACTCAATTTTTCCCTTCCCTGTTCTGACTGATTCTTTGGGACCCCACTCCACCTTTAACTTGTTCTCAAACTCTGTCTCTAACCCACCCACCCTCAGGAGGTGCTCAGATGCCCTCCCCAGGAGTGACAGGTGCCACACAGATGGGACCAGGCCTTATGACATAATGTTGACTACTTGGCCACAGTGATGTGGATAGCCAGTAAGCACCAAACTGTATGTTTTTGCTACTATCACAAAGGTTTGGTCACTTTTCAGAAACTTCTCTGATCCTATTAGTATCGTTACCACCCCCACACTAGTGCTCTGGCTTCCCAGCCCCACTTCTGAGTCTACCATGTTCATGACATGCAGTAAAAACTTCTCTCTAGGTTCTAGTTAGCTGCCAAATAATGGTCACTTACCAACTTCCATACTTCAAAAGGTGCTATCTATTTCAAGAAGTCCACTTCTGATAATAGCCATATGATACATATTTTTAAAGAGTCAGATAAATAAACTAAAATGGCTTCAGAAACACTATGAGGTGACAATACAAGTTAGGTAACTCTCCTACTAATATTTTCTCCTGGTGATCGATTTGACTAAGCACAAGTGATAAAAACACACAGAACTCCTTCTACACATAGTGACAAGGTCTTGGACACACACCTGGCTATGAAGCTACGTAACAAGGAGTTTATATACCTTCAATGTGTTCACACACATACACATACAACCCATGCTGCTTTGCAGGAACATATCAGGGTAGAAGGAAGAGCGCCTAGAACTAAGATGCTTATCATATCATGGTTAGGGCAGATGATCCAGGGATCATGCAGAAGGACATGATGTTTTAATTTTGTTGCATCTGTATGGCACATGCTGTTACCTGCTGTCTTTGGTAGGCAGAGAAAGTTCTTTCCAGGTCTTCAAGATCTAAAATTTTGAAGACTTTCGTATCATCAATTTCAGTCCATATTGTTCCTTCCAGTTTGTTCTGCAAACATCAAGTTAATAAGCACTAGGGTTCATACTTACATACAAGAAGAACAGACATGGTTATTTTCAAAAAGTGTTACTATCCCTAATTTTTCATTCTACCAGATGCTCAGAGAGAGCTGGCTTCAAACATGTCATTTATTTCAGAAGTTTTATCACTTACATATCTGAGCTAGTGAAAACCCCAAGTCCATTCTAGAAAATGAAATCATTTAACACTAGGGCTGTCTCCCTTTTGGTGATAACACAGTGAGCTCCTAATGTATCCATTAGAGGGAAAATTACAACAAATGGCTTACCTCAGGCAGCTTAGACCAGTTGAAGGATTTCAGGGCATTTGTGGGCTGAGGAATGTTTTTCTTCTTCAGTGCCAGACCCAGGGGAGCACCAGGAGGTGGCATGACACCCCCTAAGGGAGGAGGCCCTGGTGGAGGGGGAGGGCCACCTGGAGGGAGGGGAGGGGGTGGAGGAGGAAGCAAACCACCTGGGAGAGGCGGGGGCGGTGGGGGAGGAAGGAAAGACCCTGGTGCAGAGGAAGGGAAGGGCCCCCCTGGGGCTCCAGGCGAGGGTCCACCTGGGACTGAAGCACAGACGGCCCTCTAAAAAGATAAAAATAGGAAAAGAGAAGATCAATGGAAGAAGTAAATGCAATGGATGATTTTGAGAGTCTGCAACTTTGCCTAAAGATGTTATAGAGAAACTCACACTTTTGAGAGTGTGGATTTAAAGGAGCAGTAAGTCAAAAGGACGTGTTAGGGTCCTCATGGACTTTGTTGAGTTGGCCCAATGGATTTGACACTCTAGAGCTGGTTTGCAAAGAGTTCACACATCACTCACTTCTTGTACATTTGTACAGTTTGGTTTCCATAAAGTCAGTTTTAAGAAGTTTACATGACTTCCCTTGCTTGTTAGAGGATCTGTCTTTCAAACACGTACCTGCAAGCTGCCTCTGCTGCCTGACCTACAGGGTAGCAGGGGCGGCAAGGCTGGGAACCTCTGATGAGCCACAAGGCATTTCGGGTGTCATTCCCTGCCAGAAGCTGTCTGCTCAAGGCAGAGGAGCCCCCGCACAAGCGAGGCCTCAGGCGGCTGCTCACCCTGCTGAGCTCGTGGAGCTGCGCTGTAAGGTCTGCCACCTGCTGCTTGACTTGCTTATGCTCAGTCGTCTCCTTTTCGAGCTTCTCTTTCATTTTGTTTAAGGTCTGCATCATCTCTTCCTTCTCTTGGGTCTTGGCATCACATTCTCGCTCTTTCTTCTCCAGTTTCTGCTGTAACTCGTTGTGCTCTACACAGGAAACAATCGGACATGAAAATAGGAGACTCTTCGAGCTGAGACATTTCTTCTGAACAGAAAAGCGACTGAAGGTGACTGTGAGGATCTTTACTAGGTAAGTATTATTCCTCTCCTCCACCAACAGCAGCAAAATGGTGTCTATACTTGGAAGGAGCTTCAGACGCACAACTTTATTAACCATATTTTGTAAAAGACTGAAGAAGAGACCCCTGAGGCTCAGTTCTAGGTATGAAACACAAGTGTGAGCAACTATTTGTGGAGGAGAATAGTGCCTATTTGGTATTTAATTCAGAATCCTGTCATAGAAATGACCCTTTAGCTACACTGGGTAATATTAATATTAAAAGGACCTCTTTTCATAAATAAGCCATGAGAACCAGAGAAGCCCATTGTTTGTTAGCTAGGTTTGCAGGCTTGTGTCTCACTAGCAGAGGGCTCAAAGGGAGGGTCTTGCTCTGTGAGGAAATGCACTACTGGCCCACATTTGTCATTTCTTCCATTCTCCCTCAGAAGGCTACCTGGCCTTGAAGGTTTCTATGCTTCTAGCAAACAATTCCTAAAACTTGTGAAAGCAGATGTTACCATCTCAGCGTTAAATGTCTTAAAGAGCAGTAGTACTGGCTGAGAATGAGAATCACCATAACATGGGGAGAAAAATATTAGCTCTCAGCTATAGTTTTACTGACTTCTCCAGTCCTGCTATAATGAAACAAGGCAGTCAATTTAGCATAATGCTTGTTTACATTGCCAATGTGCCTGCTGACTCTAGCAGTCACAGGAGCAATGAGCTTTGGAAAAGAGAACTTTAAGGCTGCAGATTATTATTTCAAATACTTGGCCCAAATTTATATTCTTTTTATATCAATAAATCCACTGGAGATATAAACCACTGGGGCAGAGCTACACAGAATTGGTCTCTATTTCTGAATTTGATAACATTTAATTCCTGGTTGTTCAGTCTCTTACTTTCTCTCCTCTGAGTTCTTCAAAACCAGAGCTTGTAGAGAACTGCTCAAGCCACTAATCCTTGGATTTTATCAGCCTTTGAGTTAAGATAACCATCAACCCACTTCTACCACTCTGTGGATGCTTCCCTGACTTCTTCAGAGATACATCTCAAAACTGCTTTTTCTGCTCAATGGAAAAGGACAAATGTGATGAGAGGAAGGAAATGTTTCGGCAACTCTTGGACCTTCTTTTCAACATACTGAATATCGGGATGAGTGCTATTGTATTTCACTGGCTGTGACTAAATAACTTGGACAAGGAAAAGGAAGCCAGTTAACTAACACAGTGAAAGAGTAGTGGCCCGGAATATGATTGTTTTCACAAAGGGGACAACTTTAATTTGCTAATATTTTGAAGCAGGGACAGGGGATAAGGGGTAGTTATATTCATTCTGTGAGTGGCTGGCATAGTGATGTGAGTTACATAAATGGCACTCCTGTCATTTGATGCTAAGTGTTAATATCAAAGATATATTAAAATACTCACCAATAGCTGGCCTGTTAATGTTTCATAACATATATATCTACAATGGTCAGTGGTTTTCTGTGTGATATCTCTTTTTATAACTGGTGCCACATTAAGGTCATGCAGAGAACTGGGCTGCTGATAGCAAGTGGCCGGTGTTTCCCTTAAAATTCTGGGTACTCTCTGGTGTTCCTTATTAAATTTTCTTAAAATCTAATGAGATTTGAAGAACAGTTATGGGGTAGGGGAGATGTTGGGATGATTGGTAGTTAAGAAATTTGAATTAATGAATAAGAACAACAAATGCTACAGGCTTTGCAAAAAAATGCACATGAGTATAATAAAAGTATAAATTCTTTGGGAATCAACCTGACAACTAGAATAGTTTCAAGAAAATCCAAGAAAAACCAGTGCAAAATGCCCTTAAGTCATAGAAAAAGGAAGGCTGTTTGATGCACCAAAGTCAGAAGAAGGACCAGTGCCAATCAATTTCTACTACGCAAAAACCAGTAACATATCTTCTTCTCTTGTCGGGGCCTCCTCATTTACCTTTTCTCATTTTTTCTGCTTGTTCTTTCCACTGCTTAACTTCATTTTCATTAACCAACCTGTATAATAGTTAGAGGAGCATTCATTACAAAACACATAAAAGGTCAACTGCTATAAATCCATGCTCTCTAGGTACACAAATTAGTTTACTGCAGAAAAAATCCTCAGCATGCTTGAAATCCATTTAAACCCAGATGTTACTTTAGATATATTACAGGTTTGTATATATAGGGACTCATATTTCACCTCTAGAACATGTCAATTATCCCAGTTGCTATTTTCAAATAGTATAAAATAAATGTCTTACATTGTCACTCTTATCTCACAGCAAAATAACAAGAAACTTACATTCGCACGACGTTCTTAATATTAAAGTTTTCCAAAGGTGTGGAGTCAGGGTCCTGTCCTTTGTCATTTTGGATAACTATTTGCTGTATAATTCTATCTAGTAGTAGCCAGTACTGAACAGTGTTGCCACTTCTCTTGTCTAAAAGAGAGAAGAATGGTGGAAAAATATTGCAGTTGCTTATAAACTAGGACAAATATTTTTCAACACTGGTCACCTACCAGAGCCACAGAACTAGAGAGATATTTATAATATCTGAACCAACACTTCCCAGAGTTTCTGGAATTCTGATATGTGGTAATTATTTATTTGTTTGGAGGTCCTTTCTACCCCTTTCTAAATGTGTTGCAAGGCGTATGTTTATTTCTAAAATTAAAGTAATTTAGAACATTTCAAGAACGTCACAATACCCTAAGCTGTGTGTAGACACACTGGGCTGTCAACAAACCAAGATTTGGAATCCCTAGTGTGCACCCAACCTAAAAACTGTTGTTCAGAAGCCAGAGCCCTTGGGATGATGTCCAAACATTCAAAAACACATAAGTGAGGCACACTCACAAGGCATCTGGAGGCAGTGGTGCAGGATGGACATAAAGTGAGGGTAAGCTTCACTATGGGTCAGCCTCTTCCTGGTCAGTTCAAACATCTGAGTTGCACTTTTTGTGTCTATGTGAACCTATTTCAAATGAAAAAGAAATCTAAGTCAAACATCCGATATCCTGAATTCCTGCAATGCAAGGCAAGCAAATCCAAGGCAAACAGAAGCTAATCTTGCCACTCAGGTAGCAAAACAGGAGTGTGATTTCACACGTTGGTTACACTGGTCCATGTCAGCCGTACCACACTGGTTACACCAGGGCAATTCCACAAGCTAATGAATCAAATCAGAATAAATGTAAGCATACATACCAGTTCAAACCTTTTGGCAAATTCTAGTTCGTCTTCATTTCGGAGCATTTCAAAAAAATCTAAATGCCTGAAAGACAATTTAAAAAAAGCTATTAAAAGTAGAACATCCTAAATAAACATAGGCACATTGGAATCAGGACACTAATACCAAGGCTTTTCCTAGAATTTCAGATACCTCTAAAAGAAATAAGACAACATCTGAATGCCTTTACTTACTCTATTCTAGGGAAAAAAAGACATTATCTCACTGAAATGAGAGCACAATAAGAGACCAACTTAAACACCTAGGTTGCCTAGCATATAGTAGAAAATTGATAAATGTTTATCATATCTAAAAATACTCAAGTCCAGATTCTGCTCACAGACTCCCTTTCTGCAAAAACAAGTCCATATACCCACTCTTGACTGACCAATGAATTAGAGATCACAAAAGAAATGCTCATGCCATTCACTTATTCCTTCAAGTATTTATTGTGCCCCCTACTATCTGTAGGAAGATCTTTTAATGCTGAGGAAGTACAAATGAAAAGGCCCTGAGGCAGAAGGATATAAGGTGTTCACAGAGTATCAAGAAGAGCCTGCTGGAGTATATGAATGAGAGGGAACAGTGGCAGAAGGAAAGATCTGAGAGCTAGTAGGAGATGTTAGAAATAGTAAAATTATTGCAAACAAGAGCCAATGAACAGGAAGGTGGAAATTAACTTTCACAGAATAGTTATCAAAAGTGCCAAATGATTCCAAGTGATTCCATGATTAAAGTCAATTTTCGTAACATGAGACAGCCACTGCTGTCACCACCACCACTAATACCACTATTTCTCGCATGTATAAAAACAGGAAGGTTCAGAAAAATTGAATAACTTGGCCAGAACACATAGCAGCAGGAGGCAGAACAAGAATATGGATTCAGGTCTAATGTCAAAATGCACACTAGGTCCTCTACACAATGTGGTGCTTTTTTCACTGAGAAAGCCTTACCAGAGAAACATCATTAACTGAACTAACATGCTGGTGCAAGCTCCTTATGTTAAAGACAGGTCACCAGTAGTACATAGGCTGGCACTACACATATGGAAAAAGCATGATGATCTCAGATAATAATAGTCTAACTTACCTATCTAATGTTGAATTTTCATGTTCCCTTAATTTATCTATTACGGGTTGAATTCCTAACATCAGAAATTCGTAACGAAGATGGAGTCTAAAGTCCAAACTTTCCTGAAAGTAAAAGGGTGATAAAACACATGTTTATGCCTTTTAGACTACACAGTCATTTTTAAAATTCTTCTTTAGTAGTGTACACCTTGAATCACAGTATAGAAGGTGCTTACCACTCCTGCTCCTTGGCTTAGCACTGCATTGATAAAGGACATGATGGCTGTCTTGAGACTCACTTCATCTCGATACCGCCCTGTGCTTTTATCCAAGTCATTAATTAATGTCTACCAAGGATAAATACAAAAACAAAGGACTGAATCATTACTGACCTTACACTCATTTTATTAATTTTTTTATACTTAGAATTCCTTACATCTTGTGTTTAGTCAGGATTATATGATACACAGAAAGTCATCTCTTCCCCTTAAGATTAGTCCTAAAACTCTGCTTTAAAAATTCTTAAATCACATATGTTCATATATACATGTATATATACAAAGTACAAAAGACCATGCTTCACTAACTCTGCCTGCTTTTCATATTTGAGTATAAATATGGTGACATAATCTCATTCTTTATATCGATCCTAAATCAAGAATGGCAACCTATAAAATTTTCAGGGAGCATCCCATATAGCGGATTCCAAAGATGTGTGCTATATAACGTGTAGGAAGCAGGGCTACATTTTCAAGTTCAGTATATCCAAAATCCCATATTGATCAACTACAGCAAGTATATTCTGCTCTTTGGTACTAAATCTAAGAGAGGAAGGAAACACTCGCAGTCATGGTGTGAGTAATCACCACAGGGAACTCTAAAGTCATGCTCCCTCTGCAGGGCCAGGAAGGTGCCTGTCAGAACGGGCGACCACAAAGCCATGAGGGAGTGCACCCACCTGAAAGCGGGTCCTTTCACTGGCATACTTCTGGTAGTGCAGCATGGCCTGCAGGACCTTCCTGTGGCCCCCAGGAACCAGGCACACGGCGCCCAAGATTTCCAGCACAGCCACCTTGGTTTTAATGTTCTCTGTGCTCAGACTCTGAGCAATTACATTAATACTCTCAGAATGAGCCAGGACGTGAGCCCGGCCTTGAGAGTTGTTCATCAGCGCCTTTATACACCCAATGAGAGAGGTATGTATTCGAGACTCTGAGGTCTCATAGTCCATGGTCTTTAGAAAGTTGAGAATACATGACAGGCCATCCAAGTCGATGAATCTGGTTACAAATCTGTCACGAAGAAGTTAAAATATATCAGACTCAAGTCCCTTTGGAATTTTGTAATCACTCTGAAAGGAAAAGCTTGTAGATGGAAGACAGCGAGAAGGGAGAAGACATAGTTCCTAAAGCACCAAAGGCTTACACTGATGGAGTCTTCTTAATTCCAAGCCTCTTCCTTGGCACAGACCCAAAGGACAGGTCCAACCAGAAGCGTAAAAAAAAAATTTTCATTTGAGGTAAACAGATCTCAACAGACAACAAAGAATCAATTAATAGTTCATAGAACCACAGAAAATCAGGAATGAGAAGACACTCAGAATTATTTGTCTAGGTTAACATCATTTGGTGATCCTGTATTATTGTAGCATCCAACTCCCATGGACTTTTATGTGCTGACCACTGATCCAGACAGGCCCCATATCAAGGAAAGTCAAAGGGCACCCTTAAACCCAAGGACATTTGTTTGTCAAATAAATGATGATCTATATCCCCAAGGTTTTGTAGCAACATCCTCCTTTTGTATGACATATTACATGGAATTCCAATATATAAAACAAATAAAAGCAATTCCTTATTACTGTACAGTAATTTTATTGATATTTATAGCAGTTATTTACTGCAAAGTCAATCAATGAAAATAATTCACAATGCACATCTGCATGTTAAGCTTTTGAAAACTTCAGAAGTAACAAAACCTGTTTATCTGAGTACTCCATAAACTTCCAAACTTACTTAGCTTTGGATATCCTTAGATATTTATCTTAGATATTTGTTAACATCTAAGAATGCAGAATATCCACAAAGGGAAACATCAATCTGGTTATGATAGGCTAGAAAACCTATCAACTGCATAGATTTTTGATGAATTAGTAGATTTTTATTTATCATTTTATAGTCAAATAAACAAAGAGAATCTTTATTTCCATTCATTTTATCCAACCACATAACCCAGGTACAGCCAAGCTGGTTAAGCCAGTTGGTGCAGTACTGATTTGTTTGCAGCACCAATGCAATGGCATGTGCCTATAAGCACCCCGGTATCCCATCAACCGTTAGAGGCACTGATGGAAAATGAAGGTGAGGGAGGCACACAGTGGAAGCTGATCACCCACCTTTTTAAAAATGACAGTTTCATTGAGATATGACCTACATGCCATAAACTTCGTACTTTCAAATGCACAATTCAATGATTTTAATACATTCACAGAGTTATGCATTCTCACTGTCTGATTTTTGAACAATTTAATCACCCCAAAAGACAATTCTTCCCTCACCCCAACCTCAGACCACTACTAGTCTTTCTGTCTCTATGGATTGGCCTTTTCCAGATTTTCATATCAATGGAATAATATAATATGTGGTCCTTTGCATCTGGCTTCTTTCACTTTGCATAAATATTTTCAAGGTTCATCCATGTTATAGCACTTATCAGTACTGCATTCCTTTTTATGGCTGAATAATAGTCCATTGTGTGGATATATCACATTTTATTTATCCATTCATCAATTGATTGAATTTGGATAATTTCTGCTTTTTGGCTATTATGAATAACGCTGATATAAACAGTCACACACAAGTTTTTTGGGAGACACGTTTTCATTTTCCTTTCCTCTATATTGAAGAATAGAACTGCTGGGTCATTTGGTCCCTATGTTTAACATTCTGAGGAACTGCCCAGTTGTTCTCTGTAGTGGCTGTACCATTTTACATTCCCATCAGCAATGAATAAGAGTTACAATTTCTCCATATCCTCACTAACACTTCTTAGCTGTCTTTTTTTATTTTAGCCATCTTAATGGCTGTTTGCATATCTTTTAATTGAATAAAATCAATTTATTGAATGGTCATAGGTTCAAATATTTCATCTATGGTTCAACTGCATACTTTTAATTGAAGACTTCTTGAAAGTTGGTTATTGCAGAAAAAAAGAAGAAATGAAGGAAGAAAAGATGCATGGAAAGAGAAGAAGAAAAAGAAAAAGAACAGAGACAAGTAGGACGTATTACCCAGGAAAAAGTACCTCATTGGCTTTGTCCTCAGTGCTGTCTTCAAACTCTCTATAGTTTTACTTCTCTCTTCTTCCTCTTCCTTCTCTAACGCCAACAGAGATTTTCTCTATGCAAAGAAAACTGAAATTATTTCTCCAAATTCTACATTTGAATTACAGTACAAGCAAGAAAAGCCCACATATTTCATACTACTGTTTTAATACAAATAAACAACCAAGAAATCTATGATCAAGGTTTACTACAGACCACACAGTAGCACAAAGAATTCTACAAATTTGTTACCTGTAAGTTAGTTCTTTTAAATTTTACATAAAGCTCCAAGGAAATGTTTAGAAGTCTTAGTAGAGATTAAATTGTCTAAATATTTGTGTATAACTCTTGTTTAACTCTGAAGAAGATATTACCATGTATATTTGATAGAAAGAGGATTGGACCTGTAGCTAAGTACAACATTCTGGCAATTAAAGTTAGTATCATTATCACTCTATATACAAACAGAGATGGGCAGCAATCTTCTCATACTCTCTCTCTCCCATTCTTCAGGTGAGAGTGTAATCATTTACACTTTTGTTACGTGTGTGTGTGTGTGTGTGTGTGTGTACACACTCTCCCTATCCGGGACCTGCCAGAGCAGTGCTTCTCAGACTTTACTGTGGGTACGATTCACCTGAGGATCTTGCTCATCCACAGGTTCTGATGTGGTATGTCTGGGGGAAAGCCTAAGGTGCTGCATTTCTGACTAGTTTTCCTGCAATGCTGAAGTGCAGGCCTGTTGACCTTGCTTTGAAGAAGGTTCTAAGGAAGCAGATCTCAGCTGATAAAAAGTCAGGAATGCCAGTAAGGCTTACAAACTTGTTAAAAGGTCTTTTCCATTTCTTTCATCCCTTCATCACCTAGTTATATTAAAAGTATCCCCAAGTCTTACGGCTCCAGGGGCCTTCACCCACTGAAGCACTGGACCCTTGCCTTCATTCCATTCAGAACACGTGCTTGTTTAGTCTCACTCTTTTTATCTATTACGAATTCTGATAAAATGCATGGCTGGAAAACAGACTGTGGTATTGGAGGGAGAAAAAGTTTGGCTCTTATCCATGTGTCTCAATGATCCAATCTCTATCTTTCTTTCAGGACTATAAATCACCAAAGGATGACTTCACTTCATTTTTTCAAATTGAGGTATAAGCATTAACTAACTAAATGTTAACTAATGCCTAAATTTGCCTTCACAAGCAGGAAGGGAAAGACCAGAGCAAACAAATATATCATTTATGGCAACAGGAATTGCCATACACCATACTTATAAAATCATGAATTTTATTTATGGAAATAAAAATTATTAAAGTCTTGTTTTTTAAGCTTGTTATTTTTTCTCCTAAAGCTGTCTTCTTGCTGTTGATGAGCCTGAACAGCTGTCACCAGAGGATGTGTGTGTAGAAATAGCCAATGAATTTCTTCATGGCTCTGGGATTCATCCCCTGGAAGATTCAGCACAAATCCAGCTAGGTATGTTTAATTTCCTATGGCACAGCTGAACTCTGTTAGACTCTTAGGCAGTCAGTTCAGATCTGCAGCTCAGAATCAAGCCTTTTATGAATATCACTCTTTATTCCTAAGCTAAATCACAGAAAACTATCCCCAAATAAGGACTACACACATTTCTCATTGCAGTTCACTAATACTAAATGAAGATGTATTTATGTGTCCTTTTAATAATCTGGGAGAGAGTGGAACATTTGAATAAAGGCAGATTATATTAAGTCTTCCCCTAGTAGAGTTGGGAGATTTATGAAAAGTCAAGAAAATTAAATTGGAATCTCCTTTTCCAATGTAAGAACCATTACCTACCTTCAAAACAGAAGATAATATGCTGTTTTATGTCAGTGATACAATTCGATTTGAATCTAAGGTTGTGTTTATTGTATTGAGAAAACTGACAGTATGTAGATGACAATGATATTCTAATGTGACTTTTCAAATTAAAATAATTTACATAAAGTTTAAAGTTTTCAAGCTCCACATTTAGGGCGAAGGCTTAATTTGCAACTTTGTGTAGAAAAGGGGGATATGTCTACATTTCTGAAGACTGCAACTATGCCAAACACCCAGAATGCAGCTTGGCATACACAGGACAGGCCTGTGGCAGCTTTCTGGGTCCCCTGCACATGCACCAAATCCCTGCCATGTGGGAAGTGGGCAATGGCAGAGGATCTCTTAGTCAAAGCTACTAAGGTGTAATGTTGGAACACACACGTCTTAGAGCGATGCATAAACTAGGCACAGAAGTCCTTCTTGCTGAGAGTCTGGAATGAAGCTCCTCTCTAAAACATTTCCTTGATGTGAAATCAGTAAGCCAGGCTGCTGAGCACCCTGAACTTCACCTCATATCCTTCCTCCTTGAGAGTGCACGGAGAAGCCACATACAAAGAAAACCCAGGGCCTTCTCAAATCTGTTAGGCTGTACTTTTTTATTATACTATTTTTCACTCTTTAAAAGTCAACAGATCACTCAGGGGTCCTTTAAAGAACAAAGCACTCTTGTTAGGAAGCTTACAGAAAGTAACTAAACTTGTTCCTCAAACGGCTTCACAGGCCAGTGAGGGCTGCAGCTCTCATCCTGGACTGTTTATCAGACTCTCGAGGCATTAAAGGAAGCAGATGCCTGCCCTACCTTAGAAAAGTTGGGAGATGGGGGTGGGCTGGGATTACTAAACCTCTTTTACTTGCCAAAGGTTTTAAAAACTGAGTTGGTGAGAGGCAAAGTGCAAAGGAGTCTTTGAGCTTAGACTGACTGGTTTCAATGCCAGCCCCACCATTTCCTTATTAGATGACCTTGGGCAGAGTGACCTTTCTCTGAGTATCAGGCTCCTTATCTAGAAACAGCCCTTACAACACAGGGTGCTTGCAAGGATTTTAAACATGTGAAGTGCCTGTCACACTGCCTGTCATGTGATGCACACTCAGTAGCAGCAGTTGCTATTGATGCTGAGGACAATGGATGATGACAATGTGGATAGATGCCCCTTCAATGATTCCCTACACAAACAGCCACAGAGTCGAGCTGCCAGGCCATGGAAGGATTTGGAGGGACTATACGCCTTTCCAGTCCACAGGGACAATGCTTCAAGATTTCTGCAGTGTTGCCAGGAATTCTGCAGTACAGTTATAAGAGAGATTAGCCAGAACTATGGGAGGAGGTGGTGACAACAAATATGGTGAGAAAAACAGCAAACTCAGCAGACGGCTGTAGTCTCATCAGGCCTCCTTGTTCCTTTATATGCAGGAATTCAGAGGCCTCATTACCTCATGAACTGTTAATCCCTTTTCCGTTTAACCCTGGGAAGATGCTGGCTCGTCCTTAACAGGAACATCATCAGAAAGCTCTGTTACATGTTTAGTACATAAAGAACAGTAAAGTGACTGGCAAGTGAATAGCCTTGAGATATTCTTGGAAAGGACTTTGGATTAGGAAGCAAATATAATTCAAATGTAAATGACTCATGAATGTCACAAAGGGTCGTCCAAGGAGTTGGCTGAAAGAGAAAGGAGGCTCCAGAAGACGTGCCTCACGCTGGCACATCAGACATTCTGGAGCAGGAAATGAGGCAGGTCGACGCTGGACGAGGCATGGATTAAGTCACCAAAGGACAAATTAACCTAACTGCCCCAAAATGTGAAGAAAGGAAAAATCCACAGTATTTAGTATTCCATTTATAGAAGTGAATTCATTAGCAGAGAAGCAGCTTCCCTTGTTCCATCAACGCTGACTTAATTAGAAAGAAAGGCAGCCTTCCTGACCACTCTTTTGTCTCCCTAGAGCCAGGAGCAAGAATTCAGAAAATAGCTTTTACATGCAGGAAATGTAAATGGCTCTAAATTATTACTGCTTAGGCAGATGCACAGAAAATCCCTGATGGTCATCACAAGCTTCACACTCTGCTAATACATTCCTACAAATGCTGAAATCACCCTTTTCTCAACATTGTCATTGTATACAAGGGTTTGCATAAGGAGGATTTGGTGGTTATTTTCTCTTCTTTTCTGCTGTGCTTTTAGACTGGGAAAACCCTCAGGGCAAAAGCTTATACAGTTTCTTCTATAATTTATACAACTTTGTTCACATTTACCAGGCTGTTTATTATTCACTGTTTGACAGCAGAAGAAGCATCTAAAAGGAAAATGCTAGAAAAGAAGAAGTTACTCAAACTCAAGGCCTCTGAAAGTTTAGCAAAAGTGTGAATGATTCATATATTCTAGTCAGTTAACTTTTGCCATAGCAGCAAAACATTAGAGAATCTAAAATGTTTCCTTGAAGTGATAATAAACTATATCCCCATAAACACGCTGGGGAAGGCAGGATAAGAAAGAGGTAGAGAAAAGGATCATGGAAGTTTGGATATTATGAACTCAAAGTTGAATCTAACAGACTGACTCTTAAAATCATGAGTGTGAATGACTGTTCCACTGTGGGTAACCTCCAATTTTTACCAACATGTTAAAGATTTAAGTTGCTAAGGCTCAAAGGTTGATGACGTTTTCTAGTGCAAATTTATTTGGGATCAATAGGTGCCCCTCAAGTTGCTCTGAATACTGACATCATAGAAATATCCATGCGCTCAAAGCACATGTTTTAGACATTATGAAAGCATTTTAAGCAATTACTGAACCAAAGATTTCTCAAGGACATCTAAGTGTTATTATTATGCCTTTTCATTGAACCATTTATTGCATGGACTCCTTTTTTTGTTTATATGAGTAAAAGGGTATCTTGGTGCCATGCAAAATCAAAAACCCAGTACTAAGCATGTCCTCAGTAAAAAAAGGAATGGGAGGAAAACAGTGACGGAACAGTTTCATTCTATCATTTTTAAATGGTATTAACTTTAAGAATAGCAAAGCTCCAAATGATTGCTAAGAGCAATTGCAAGTTAAGGTTGAACATAAGCCAGACTTAAGATTACATTTCCTCTTACAACATTAAACTCACTTATATTTTAGTGTGTGCTGATTTTATGTTAAACATATTGGAAAAAATCATTTTGCCAAGGACCACTGCTGCACTCTTTTAACCCCAACGTTGGGAGTCTGGAAAGGAGTTTGGGAAGATGATGACACTGGGTAGTTCTTACCCAATTTATTGTGCAACTTTGTGCTTTGTACTAAACTTGCATTTTAAACATGTGTCACAGAATGGAAAGTATACCTACAGCAGCCATGGAATTGAGCTGATCAATGTAGAATTCAGGCCAACTTGTTGCTCCCTTGTTTTCTTCTTGGTCCTAAAGAGGAAGAAAAAAAGTAATATACCACCAGACATAAAAACACAACACCATAAGCACATTTGACTTCCACGGCATCTAGCAGGTAGCCCATACAAACCATTAGAAGACACAGAGAAGATACCTGTCTTGAAATACTGACCTTAAATCATCAGACTGTTCACTTGACTAGGGTGGACCTCCCAATCCAATGTCCACAGAGAGTGCTGAAGCCAGAGTTAGGGTGACAAAGGGGACATTTTCTGAATCACAGATCAATGGGGAATTTAAATGGGAATGCGGCTGCACCATGGCGTGACGCTGGTTTCCTTCACAAGCTCAGTAACATTAGTAAGGGCACTGTGTTCCCTTCACAAACAAAGGATCTCTAGGTCCTGTATCACACTGAGGACAGTATTACTGGAATATACATCTGGATGAAATCCACAAGAGAGGGAAAGTTGTCTTAAAAAATGACCACAGAATTTGGCCAGTTGTTAATAGACTTTTTCAGTTAGTTTATTCATATTCCAGCAGACAGCAAAAATTTTGAAAAAGGGTTTCATTTGATGTGACCAAAACTAAGTAGTGCTTCAGGCAAGAAGGTAGAATACAGCCTGGCATTGGGTGAGAGGTAGTAAAATGGACACACGTTAGTCCCAGGCTGGCCCTCACACTGTGAGAGCTTGTGAGTCTGATAAGACTCAACACATCTGAGGTGAAGAGTAGTGAGACCCATGGAATTCAGAAACCCACTCCCAAATCACTCCAGCCAGTCTTGGGTCTTACCCACAGGGTGACTTGAAGCCAGCAGAGAGCCCCCAGGGCTTCTGTGGATGTGAGATCTATACCAGCCTGAACCCACACCTCCAAAAAAAAAAGCAGGTAGCCGTGGCCTCTGCTCCGTCTGAGCATCAGGCCTGTAAGAAGATGGCACCGGGGTTGGGGATTTTAATGCATGTTTGGAAATTTATGTGGCTAGTCATTTGTGTCACCAGACGTGAAGAGGAAAATTCAGCTATTCTCTAGCTTCACATTCAGAGATTACCTTAGTACGATCGATATCCTTTGCCCACCTTGGAGAAGATGCTGGGCCAGGTACAGGTAGCTGTTACCTATTTACTGGTGTCAGAATCCCAGTCCTTGGCATAGCCATTTCAAGGTGGGGCTTTTAATTTTGGTCCTATACTTCAAATTTTGGTCTTACTTCAAAAAGAAAAAACAATAACACTTTCTCTGAGAAAATCTTTCTAGACAGGTCTACTGGGGTGAGATAAAGAAACATAATTCCAAAACTATTCTATTCTTTAAGTAGTCATAAAAGAGGGACAAAGTAACTATTGCTTTCAGTGCCTTAAAAGCTGGCAGTATTAGTGCTTCAGGCAAGAAGGTAGAATACAGCCTGGCATTGGGTGAGAGGTAGTAAAATGGACACACGTTAGTCCCAGGCTGGCCCTCACACTGTGAGAGCTTGTGAGTCTGATAAGACTCAACACATCTGAGGTGAAGAGTAGTGAGACCCATGGAATTCAGAAACCCACTCCCAAATCACTCCAGCCAGTCTTGGGTCTTACCCACAGGGTGACTTGAAGCCAGCAGAGAGCCCCCAGGGCTTCTGTGGATGTGAGATCTATACCAGCCTGAACCCACACCTCCAAAAAAAAAAGCAGGTAGCTGTGGCCTCTGCTCCGTCTGAGCATCAGGCCTGTAAGAAGATGGCACCGGGGTTGGGGATTTTAATGCATGTTTGGAAATTTATGTGGCTAGTCATTTGTGTCACCAGACGTGAAGAGGAAAATTCAGCTATTCTCTAGCTTCACATTCAGAGATTACCTTAGTACGATCGATATCCTTTGCCCACCTTGGAGAAGATGCTGGGCCAGGTACAGGTAGCTGTTACCTATTTACTGGTGTCAGAATCCCAGTCCTTGGCATAGCCATTTCAAGGTGGGGCTTTTAATTTTGGTCCTATACTTCAAATTTTGGTCTTACTTCAAAAAGAAAAAACAATAACACTTTCTCTGAGAAAATCTTTCTAGACAGGTCTACTGGGGTGAGATAAAGAAACATAATTCCAAAACTATTCTATTCTTTAAGTAGTCATAAAAGAGGGACAAAGTAACTATTGCTTTCAGTGCCTTAAAAGCTGGCAGTAATTGATATCTGAACTGAGGCAGTTGCATGCATTTCATTTGGAGACTGAACAAGCCAGATGTTGGGGACAAAGGCTACAGCAGCAGCTTTGAAGTGGGACTGGATTACACTTACATGCTTTTTAAAAGCTTAGGAAATCTGATGAGTTTTTAGAACAGCCCTTTATTATTACTTAACATGTTAATAAAATAGCTACAATGGTAGTTAAAGTGGAGTATTAAAGTTATCAAAACCCTACTGTTACTAATGTATTCAGCAAGCCAAAACCCACAGTGATATTCAGTAATACCTGAATGTATAAAATGAAATAGAAGTTGCTAGATCTTTCTAGTCCCTCAGACTACGGCAAATTTTTGAAACTACAGCAAAATCACGTCCCATGTTCAGGGTCCCATGGGAGCCTGTCTGTTGTATGCTTAATAGTCATGGTTACAGAATAGAGACCATTTTAGAAACTGAAGATTAGTTTATAGCGAGAACTCTTTACACTTTGGAAATTCTTTAATAATATGAACAGATTTAGAGTAGACCTAGATACCGTAGTCAAAATAAGGGAAAGAAAGCTTCATTTTTATTTCACATGCCTCAGTGCTGAGAAAATCAAATGAGCTAACATATGTGAAAGCTTCTTATAAAAGTACTAAGTGTTATCACTATATTGCTGGAGGATGAGCTCCAGAACTCTCCATTTTGGCAACAGATCTCCAGTTTCCCCTGGAGAACTCTGTAACCCTGGTCCTTCCATACAGCTGTGTGCTGCGGTAGCCAAGTGAAACTTGCATCTGTGAATCAAGTCTCTCCTCTACTTTGTGTGCCTCGCAGAGTCTGTAGTCATGCAAGAGGTACAGGCCAGGAGGAGATGGATGCAATTGTTCTCTGTGGATCCCCTAAAGAGCACTGGAAATGGGGACATGCCATGGAGAGACTCTCCCCTAAGAAGTCTGATGCAAATACAATGCATGTAGTATTCCTGGAAGGCAATGGAGTCCTATGGACTACCAGCCTCTAACATGTATTAACTATGCTTTGAACCACCTGTCTCATTGCGTTTCATTTGTTCTGGAGAAACAAGTGGAAAAATATACAAGATCATATAAATAGTATCAGTTGTAATGGAAGCAACAGCCTCCACCACACATATGGCTTATTATGTGTCACAAAGTTGAAGCACTGTGTCTTTATTTGATTTACCCTCTGAGTAGGTGCTGTTATTATATTCATTTTACTGAAGAGGAAACAAAGGCAAAGAGAAGACAGGTGAGTTGCCAAAGGGTATCATGCTGAAAAAACAGAGGCAGTGGGAAAGAATCAGGGCAACCTCTTTCCTAAGATTATACTTCAGATAAATCACCCAAGGCTGGCCTTTTACTCCTGACCACTTCACTCAAAGAAAGTCAGACATGGTTAATGGCCAAAAATGAGTTCACCTTTCCCTAAGCCCTTATTGCTATTTTTGCTACATTCAACATTTCTGAATACTATTCTAAGACCTGCTGTCTTACCCAGGTTACCTCTGACCCGTCTCTAGACTCTTTCTGTGGAACTCTTCTGACCCTCCACCAATGCCTTATCTGTCTTCACGTGTGTGTGTACGGACTGCACTCAGGCTTCTTCCTGACCTGTGCTCCTGTTCTGTTATCAAGCTCAGTCTAAAGGCCATCTTCATGGTGATTTCCCAAGAGCTCCTAAAGATGAGCTGATAGCATTGAGCAGTTCTAGAAACTGCAATTATAAACAAATCCCTCCCTAAATCATAACATCTAACCTTACTTTTGGCTACCATCCTCACTGATTTCCATTAGCTGTTTTTTCTCTAATAAGCAAGAATACAGGTTTTATTCTTTTAAAAACTTCCTTTTCCTCCTTTTAAAACAGTTTGTGGGAATGACATGTAGAGAAGCTGCCCTATGGGAATACATATTTTAGCAATCACATTAAATGCTCCTGTTATTCGACCGACAGACTGGATATTTCTTAAAACCTACTTTTGATTGCTCTTGAAAGTGTTATAAGCATTTAAGTTTCTATGTCTTCAGAATGTTTATTAGATAAGTAGAAATGAATTGACAAACATTTTATGTTATCAAATTCTCTAATGATGATTGTTTCTTAGGACTGCAAACAGAACTTATTTTCAGAGACATGGTATAGTGGAAAATGACCGGAGTGGGCATCCGGAGATGACATTCCAGAACTTACTTTTTGGTTTGCTCAACCAGCATTCCTTGGTAAGTTTGAATCCCTGGACCTCATTTTCCTTCTCTCTAAAATAAGAGGGTGAGACCAGACTCTTTCTGAAGTTCCTACAAGCCCCAAGATTCTATATAACTAAATAGTGAGATGTCACAGAAAATACAGTATGTTCTTAGTTTGAGGGCCCAATTTCTAAAATCAGTAATTTAAAAAAATGTATGTTGTTCAGTGACTTAATTATAAAACACTTAACTTTCTTTTTTTTTATTGAAGTACTACTGATATACAATCTTATATTGGTTTCAAATATACAACAACAACAAAAAAACCCAACAGTTCAACAGTGGTTTAACAGTTACTTAACTATTAAATCCTCACCCCCACCAGTGCAGTTACTATCTGTCATCATAGAAAGATGTTACAGAATCATTGGCTATAATATCCATGCTATACTACCATCCCTGTGACCAATTTATTTTATGGTTGAGAATTTTTGTATTTCTTTATCTCTCTTCCCTCCCCACCCTATCCCAGCCCCTACCCCAAGGTAATCACCAGTCACTTCTCAATGTCTGTGAGTCTATTGCTGTTTTGTTCATTCAGCACAAAACCCTTAACTTTCAACAGTACTTCCTTTACAAGGTAATTGGAGGAAAAAAACAAAACAAAATTTC